GTCCATATTGAAGATGGGTTGAGGATCTCCACTTTTCCGAAGCCTCTAGCAATCATGCGATGAAGGTGAAATTTTCAATCGCAAACCTTTATGACAGTGCCCAAAACAACCTTATTCCTTGGACATCTAGATTGTTTGGTACCTTGATCTTTTTTCCCTTCCTTCCTTTGTATTTAAACAAACATGGTACAATCGTTTATGGTATTATTTAGCATTACGGGTTGATATCTGATGGCGACATATACCAAACATTTCCCCCCACCTGCTGGAAGGCACTCCATACATGGGGCTCGAAACGTGATCACAAGTTCGCTTTATCCTTCACCGACCCAAACTCCGTAAATAAACTCCATGGGGCTCGAGACGTGGTGACAACGGACGTAGCTAACAGCAAATGCCAAGTCTTATATTCAGGCCATTGTCTCCTATGGAGAGCTACATCTTACTAACCTAAGTGCTTGTTTTCATAACATAACGACAACCCTAGTTTAACCCTTCTCTCTCTCTCCCCCCCCAATGGCTCACAGTTTGCTCAAATTATTTCGTCTTTCACATATACTACTATATCTGAACTAATAATTAACGGCTGTATCGAGATGTTATTTCAACCAAATGGGGGAAACTTTGTCTGCTAGGGATTTTGTCATATCTGAAACTTGCATGAATGATGGAGAGATGGAAAGGTCGACTTCCACCCACTTTCTATTTTGCTGTCCTTTTGAGAATGACTCGACCACCATATGATCACACGTAGTGACAGACACATTGGATGTTACATAAACATCTGCCATGATTTATTGTCTCTAAGCCACATATCGCTAAGGCATTTTGTTGAAACAATGAGGGTTGTGCATGTGCGCCTATAGGGAACTATTTCGTTGTTCTATAGGAATACAATCATATAAAGACAATACGACCCAGACCCGTTAAGAAAAAGAGCGAGCACCCCACCATCAGAGAACATGTCACTTTACGAGTTTTTGTTTCATACCAAAAGGGTCGATTGTCCCCCCAATGATTACTCACTACTTTTTTTTAGAGCCAAATGGTAAATTACAGGAGGAAAGAAAAAGCGCCGCTCCATGTTTAACACGAAATCAAACAGTTGGGTCATGGTGGGATCGAGGTAGATGAATGTCGGTCAACAAAATCTGATGGTGCATCACAATTTATTTGGGAGGCGAAGGACAACATTAGGGAACATACAGAGAACCAAACAACCATTTATTCAAATGATTTCATAGCTGGCGAGAAAATTATTCCGTACAAATGATTGACAATGTAATCATGGATTCGAGTCCTACCAAAAGATTATATTCATTTCGTTTTGGTGGCAATTGTGTGTAGTTTTTTTACTGACCACACCAAGAGCCAATCTGTGATAGTAATAGAAGTGTGCACTTTGGCTACAATGAACAAGTTTTGAACACTGGAAAATTTAGTGCTATAAAGCCAAGCTCTTGATGCTGCATACAATGTGGAAGAATTCTTATTGCCTCCGGTGGAGCGGGCAAAGGAAATTGGTCAAATTGCCTCGGTTCTGAACGGCACTAGCTTTGCCTTGGCTGACGCCGGCGAGCAGAGCAGTTGCTGGGCTCTGAGAGCACAGAGAGACGCGAGTCGACGAGAAGCGGATCCTGGACTTGGACGAGACCCTGCTGGGCTGGCTATTAGTTAGTGACTTAGGACTAGTTCTTTCGTGGACTCGGGAGACCTCAGCCCTTTTTTAAGTGCAGAGACAAAGCCCAACTTCGCAGCCAGCTCTTTTTGTGTTAATCGGACCGAACACCCAAAGCCGATGCACCCAATAGAATCAACAAGATGTCAATATCAACGTCAGAATCATATCATCAACATATCAAATTAAAATATACTACCTCCAGTTCTTAGACACCTTGTTTAATTTTTATTTTGATTTTAAATATAAGACCCATTCCATTTTATTTTTAATATTTATGTTTTTTTTCAAGATAATCCTTTTAACACTGATAATTCTAGCTAATATATTTGATTAGCAAGAATATTTTAGAAAAAACAACAGCTATTTATTACAAATAACTAACTTAAATTTTTTTTTAATTTTCTCAAATTAGTTAATTAGCTCTTATAATTGAGACTAGAAATAGTACTATAAAATGCGGAAATAATGCGAACTCATAGATTGCACCACCTATATCAGCCCACGACATGCCAATTTAATGTACCTACAAGTCAAAGATAATACTCAATGCAAGATCCATTTTATAGTGTTTTACATTATAAAATAAGTTTTACATTTAAGAGCCAATAAGTAATTCTTATACTAAACGTATACTCCCGTATAGTTCTTTAAAATGCCAACTGCTTCTAAGAGGCTGTGGCAAGTTTTCACTAATCTTAAGTTTTGTGTGTGAGAAAAGGTACTGCTAACAGATTTTTGCATCTATGTGATGTGAAAATGACTTATAAGTCGTAGTGATGATCATTGTAAAGCGTCCTGGTGATGGTAATGGATTCCGAAGACAGCTAACTACTGGACCAGGGCTATAAAGTTTATTGGGCCTTGAGGCCCATACAGTTAAAGATTATTTTATACTCTTCTGATCTTATTTATAAGACAGAAAAATATTGGGAAAAGATGTATTGTCCATTTTATATAAATATATAATTTTACTGAGGTTTATTGATCTTCTCGATTTTTTTTTGACTGCATCTCCGGAATTAAATTGGAAAGTTATTAAATTTTAAATTAGAATTAATAAAATTTAAAATTTTACTTAATCTGCATAAAATATATTAAAAGTAAGTTATAAATAGAATTTTTGGACTGGTACCCGAAGAAGGGGTTGCAATGTTCGTTTATTTCCGTAGTTCGAACGACTTTTGGTGGGACCTTTGATTCTCATGTTGTCACTGTTCGTTGCCAAAATTCCTTGCGTGTGTCTCGTTTAACAAACGAAGGCTCTTTGTGTCCCAGCGTCTCTTAATTTTCGCGCTCTCTGTTTACTCCTTTGTACTCGTAATTAAGTGTCGGGTCCTGCCTTTAATCCACTACAATTGCGTCCATAGTAAGCTTTTCAAACCCATCCCTCACGGCTCACCTTTTTTAATCTTTTGAGGGAAATATTCCCTAAGTTAGCGTTCAGCTTCCCTTCTTTATTCTCATTATTATTCTTATATTAAACACTGTTTAGTGTGCTTTAACTGACCAGACTCTGATTTAAATTTCAAACCAGTGCTCTGCCCTGACTCTGATGCCTGTCCTCATATCCATTTAATTATTATGGTACATTATCAAGCTTTAGTACGTTAACTCAAACGGGGCAACAATTAAAGTTCTTACCTTATTGTCCCACTGAAAAAGTTAATAAAAAAAGCTCGAAGACATGTGAAAGCAAGATGGCAGCTTTCCAGAGCTTAAATAAGTTTCCGATTTTGCCAGCCAAACTGAGAAGCTGAGAATCAAAAGCCCTTGCCCCAGTTTTTGTTGTTGTTGGTGATCATTCCTTAGGCTAAGATCAAATGTAGTTTCCATCTATCGACGTGATGAAGAAATAAGAAGCCACACGATGGAACAGATATGGATGGAGATTAAGATGATGATGTAATTAAGCGCTGAACAGAGTTGTGGAAACTTCATTAAGTGGGATGCATGATTTTGAGGGGAAAGGAATCAGGTTGAAGAGCTTTTGTAATGTGTGCTTAAAAAGACAGCATTATGGGGTAATTAGTAGAGTACCTAGCAGATTGTGCCCAGCGCTTAACCCAAAAAAAGGTTCACCTTGGGCTTCTAATAACGACAGCCCCAATTAATTATTCCAACCCCCATCCACCCTTGACGCTATCAAAATCAAAATTGAAAATGAAACATATAATGAACTAATCATTAATGCACCTGGATGCAAAATTTGGTTACTCATATATACTATAGTTATATGGAGCTCGATCATCAAATTGCAGTTCTGGTATATGCCAGTTATATATGTGGTTCATCATTCATGCCAGCGACTGTGTCAAACCTAAGTAGCCAGGACATTTCTGTTTTTATAATGCCCAAACCGACATTTCTAAAACAAACGGCTTCATTCTTCCATCTATAAAATTGATGGGTGAATGAATAGTTTCAGAGCTCGTAAAAATGGTAGGATTTTAATATTTAGGCAGGTCATTGAATTGACAAGAAGCATCTTTCAATATAGTAAAGGAAGCAATTAAATATTAGGGAATAACTATGTGCTAGTTAAAAGCATGCATTGGGCGGTTCACTGGCTTCAAAAGTACCGATAAACACAAACACATTTCAAGTTCACAGGAATTTCAAGTAAGTATTGAATCCAACCGCCACGCAAGAAAAAGAAGAAGAAGAAGAAGCATCAAATTCAATAGTTCAGGGTGGGAATATCGAAGATCAGTGTGATATTAACGGAATGCTTAATATGAAGATAGTAATATATGGAAACGCAATCAATGGATATATTCAACAAGCCGATGAAACTGCCGACTTGAACTCAGAAAGTCATATTCTGAAAGCCAGCTCACAAGACTAAATAGGATAAAGCTCATCAGAATTTTATACAGAGGCCTAAATTTCACACCTCTTTCATTTCAATCTTACAATGCCGTATATATGGACTCTAAGCCGTCCAATAATTTCCCTCTTCGACACTCCCTAGGAGCCAAACAGACAGGAATGAAACCAATATTATTCCATTGCAAAAAAGTAGATGTTCTATTTCTTTTGAGGCATGTATGTTTCAAGTATAAAATTATTAAATAAGTACATCTTATCCCCTATGTAGAGGAAAGACAAGTTTTGAAAACACTAAAAGGAAAAAACACGCAGCTCAAACTGATGGTACCATTTCAATACGGGCTCTTTAGAACAAGTACCCTTTTTTACTAGATTATTATATATACAGACAACAAGAGATTAAAGTTCCTAATAAATTTATAAATTGTGACATTATTTTGCGAATCTATGTGGTAGTATAAATATTACACGTGCGAGCTTCAGCTCTCAGCCCTTGCAAGTACAGGAGCGCAAGCGCTGTCTAGTTATAAACACCCTACTGCGCGGTGCTGTGAGATAAGTCCAAAAGCAAAGCAGCCACTTGCATCTTTTCCTACGATGAGCAAACCTAGAACCCAAAGGAAAGACTCCAAACATGTCAACCGAAGCCAGAATCAACAACTCCAGAGAACAGAGAAACAAGCCTCTTGGGCAGCGATAAGAGGCCTGTTGCCTTGTAGAAGTGTCCAAATTCAGCAGCCGCAGCTGGAAGCAGTGAAACAACCAAAGCAGAAACAAGAGCAAAGGAAACTACAAGAAGAAGAAGAAGCAGTCTCAGAAGAAAGCAGAAACAAGTGCAAGAAAATGAGGTGCTCAGGTTCACTTTGTAATAACACCAAGATCGTGGCAAGGCCTGAAACAGTGACTCCTGACATCAACAAGGTCAAAAAGGCGTCTCTGGGTGGATGTACCTCGGCCAACAATGATGCTTCTCATTCAAACAGATCCTTGAAAGCTCCTTTGCAAGAACTGAATGGGGTGGCTGCTACTGCCTCTTCTTCTAACTCTTCTGTGAGTGGGTCTTTTAGGGGAATGCCGTTCAGGAGGTTCTCTGGTTGCTATGAGTGTCGAATGGTGGTTGACCCTCTTCTTCCTTTCACTAGAGACCCTTCTCTCAGGAGTAGCATCTACCCTTGCCCTCATTGTGGGGAGATCTTCATGAAGCCTGAAAATTTAGACCTTCATCAGGCTGTTAAACATGCAGGTACATCATCACTTCCACTCTATAATCATCCAGTAGCTTCATAATTCCTTTAGATTGATATGTTACTAGAAAGACATGTTCTTTGGATTGTGATTTCCTTTAACTGGGTTAGCTCATCATGTGTTTATATTACTTGTTTCAGTATCTGAACTGGGTCCAGAAGATACGAGCAAGAACATAGTGGAAATCATATTCCACTCAAGCTGGCTAAAGAAACAATCTCCAGTCTGCAAAATAGACCGCATCCTTAAAGTCCACAACACCCAGAGGACAATTACTAAATTCGAAGAGTACAGAGAGTCCATCAAAGCCAAAGCCATAAAGCTTTCCAAGAAGCACCCTCGTTGCATAGCAGACGGAAACGAGCTATTGAGGTTCCATTGCACGACCTCTTTGTGCTCACTGGGCCTAAAAGGCTCCACTAGCCTTTGTAACTCAACACCACAGTGCAGCGCGTGTGGCATAATCAAGAACGGCTTCAAGGTGTTTGCCGGTGGAAAAGGTATACTGACAACAGCGACAAGTGGGAAAGCACACGACAAAGCCGAAGTGTTAGGTGACGAGAATAATGAGAAGAGAGCAATGCTGGTGTGCAGGGTGATAGCAGGGAGGGTGAAGAAGAATATAGAGGGAGGAGGAATAATGAGTACGGAAGAGTATGATTCTTTAGCAGGGGAAGTTGGGGCTTATTCCAATTTGGAAGAGTTGTATGTGTCCAATCCTAGAGCTATTTTGCCTTGCTTCGTCGTTTTCTACTCTGGTTTTTGATGCGTCTTCTTAAGCTAGAGCCTAAGGACTGAACCTTTCCTACTCTGAATTTCTTTGCTTGGTTAGCTCTTTTTCAAATCACCTTAGTTGAATCATTAGTACGTGCCAGCGTGGCGATTGGTGGGGAAGGATGGAATAATCTCAGGTTTGAATGCATTGGAGGGTATCACTTATCGTTACCTTCCCAATTGAGGGCTCACATGACTCAGAAGTGTATATTACTGATCACTGTATTAGCATTACAATTTACCTTTCCCTTTTTGCCTTGCCTAAGCACACCGACGCCACTGCCTTGTGTCAAAGCTATTTCTTTATGAAACTTTCTATAAAAAACGAAGTATTTCTTGTTACTTTACTTGCTAGTTGCTGCTATAAAAGTTATGGATAGAGACTATGCTGTTACATCCATAATATTGTAATTACTTGATTTTTGAGAAAGAGATTTCAGATATTTGGTTAAATTGAAAACTGAGGAATAACTTGTATTTAACCTATTCATGACTGCCTGAGGCCTGACCCACATTAAAATCTATAAGCACTCGTCTTCTGCAACGATCAAATAGGAAATTTAAACAAGATGGTATCTTTAGAAAGGCAAGATGACTTGCAGAGGTTTTGTACTCAATTTTCATTACACTGAGATGAGAGTTATCTGCGGAAGACAAACAATTTCTCAGCACAGTCAACGTTCAGAAAGTGTTCAAGCTAAAAAAACAGATAAATTGAATTATTGAAGTGATTAAGACCTAAAGAAAAGCTTATTTAATGGTCTGAATTATTATTCCTGTTTTTTTTCCCTGTCAACATCTCATAAATGTGACGAAGAAGAGAGTACTCATGTGTTATCATTACGAGTGAGTGAATGGCTCCATGAATTACTGCAAAATGAAGATTGAGTCCGGGGGAAGTTATCATCATAGCAAAACGTAGGAACAGTATGGCGATATATTTATAAATTTTTATCGTTTCAGAAAAAAATTGTTGTACTTGGTTAGTTTTCTATTAAAAATTTAGTATTCTTCCAAACCCAAGGGGGATCACCGACAACAAGGAACAATTTGTTTCCCTTTTTAAATGAACAACTTAGCTCCATCCAATACCTCTTGAACCGGGGAAATAACCGGTTGGAGTGAGAGTAACTTTCAATAAGCCGTTAGAAATACAAAAAATGGACAAATGCTAAGCTGTGAATTGCGAAGGAATAGAACAGAAGGGCTTCCTAATCGAGACATGGAAACGTGAAGCCATTTTCGTGGCGGGAGCATTTGTGTAGTTCTGGGGTCGCGTGGGGTCTAGATTAGCGTGTTGTGTTTTTTCTATTCCATGGATTCCAGAACCATTTGCGCTGCTAGTTGACTCTAGTTTTGTACTCATTGTGCAATGATTTGGGATCTTTTCGAGGTTTGCTGGCTAAAGTGGAGCGACTCGGCATGGGGTTAACAGGCACTAGCAATTTCAAGAGAAAATTTACGTCAAACCCCACGAAATAACTGCAGAAGGGAAAAAAAACACTATTTTAACAGATGCAATGCTTGTCTCACCACGGTTCGAGAATAATGGGAAGGCAGGTAGCTCAGATATGATTGATTATTGTATAGTGAAACATCTTTTTCGTGGCAAGAGTAAATACGACGCCAAGAGGGAGAAAAAGAGAAGGCGAAAATGGAGGTTATGGGGTAACTTTTGCAGTGCGTGCTTGTAGCCATTGAATAAAGTAGGAGGCTCAGAATCAACTGGCCATGTTATGCTTGTAAAAGAACAACAAGAAAAAGTCAGAATGAAGACTTCACTGGGCGACCAAGTGGATGAAATGATGAAAAGAAGATCAAACTAGCGCCAGCATGCATGGCAAAGAGTCCAACAATACCACTAGAAACATGTTTGTTGTTATTATTTTTGGATTTAGTATCGGGGACTAAAGGTCTAAAGCTTAGCGAAGATTAAAGAATAAGATTGACCTTACAGAATAGGGAGTGGGCCTTGGGGTGGCCAGGTTACAGTGACAATGATAAGGAGCGAGGAGTGAGAGGGTGGGGCTCACATGCATTTGATCCTGTCTCTAGTGGGACCTACCCATGTTCCTGATGTACCCAGTGCTTCTCAGATGGAATAACAGGGCCTGGTGGACACTTGATAGGACCACTTCACTTCTGGCTGTGCCCCCTTGCTTATGTCTGGTTTGCGAGAATTTAGGTACATTATACTTGGGCATTGTTGCAATTTGCTGACCATATTAAGCGCATATAATGGGATTTTACCAGGAAACAAAACAACAAAATATTTCCCAGTATAGCGTTGCCCTATTTTTGCCCTGCGACAAGAATATTACGAGTCCCAGACATCAAGTGCTTCCTGCTGCCTAGTTGAATTTACCCCTGAAATATTCGTGTCTACTCTCTGGTAACACCTACACGGACAACTTGATCTTGACGTGGGATTAGAGGGATGGCGAAATAATACAGTTTTAGGAGAAGGGTTATAACTTACACAAGGCAGGAAAACCCTGCTATAGTTTATCTGCAATTATGCAGGGGCGGATAAGTTTCAAGACAAGTAAACATCTCAACTCCTTTCGGATAATTTTCACTACCTGCTTTTCAAACATCATCATCTGAGGAAGCTTCGCGTACAGAAAGTTTTGAAGGTAAGAAAAACAGTCTGAATAAGTGAAATTAAATCTTAGAAGATGAAGGAGGTAATGAGCCATAACACATCCAAAGCACCTATAGGATGCCTCCCTCGGTTGAAACAGATAGACAGAATCCAAAAATGCAAAACTTGATCAATTCACTGTTTCAATTCCCCCTCCTACCCTAATAATTTTACAAAGGAAATAAAATATGTAGAAGATCCGCATCAGGTTCTAAAAACATGGATAGAGAGAAATCAAAATACAACTCTCCACCTGAGTTCTATGCTTCTCTGAGAAACACTAGCAAAGTTGTGCGGCATCACCACTTCTACCTTCCCATGGCAAGCCAGAAAACCATCAGACCATGGACAACATGTAACATGCACAGAAAATCCTCATCCAGCGGCAGGAAATCAGACAAAATGGAATTTCTCGTCTTCAGAACTGCAGTACCCCCATCTTGGCATTAGGCAGTAACAACTCATCTTTACCCTCAAAATCAGAAGATGTAGCATCATTACACAAAGAAGGGTGAAACACCAAGGGTGTTGAACTGACACGAATCTGATGATTTCAGTGGCGCAGAAGGCAATCAGAAGAACGGCATTATTCATTTAAGTTTTTCTTCGAATGTCGTCATCATGGCTGACTAGATTGTGGTCAATTTTGACTGTTATGCAGCTGCTGTAGACATCTACATTCTGGTAACGGGTATGTGTAGACTGAAGTTTTCCTGTTAATTTTTCTGACTCTTGGTACAAGGATTCCTTTCCGGTCATTGTCACCAAGCATAGCTTCCATCTGCTCCTTGAAACTTCGCCAACTGCAAAACCGATATCCAAACATTTTCTATCACCCAGTGTCTTCAAATTTTTTCAATGCCTAGCCCCAGGCCTAAATTTTAGTAAACTTTCCAATATACTTATATTATTATATATCAGATACAAAGCAAAGTGTTAGAGGGCAGCTCAAAAACTTTAAACTATAATAGTGGTAAAGCCCAAAAAAAAAAAAAAGTGAGAAAGTAGCAACTAGACCTTATAACACAAATTATGCAAAACCTGAAATTGCAAAATCCCAGTGAAAAATTTATGAGAAAAATACATGGCTTCTCTTAAATTTTGTTAAAATGGCACAGATGTCATCTTCATTTTCAAAATAGACACTTCACTTCAGTTTTGTATTTTTTCCCCCCCAAAATATTCTTTTATTAATCAGTGCAAAGATTTAGACCTTATTATTAGTGCTCTCCAACAAGATTCATTCAGATGCCAATGCCATGGTTTTTGTTTTTGTGTGTGTGGGTCATTTCCCTGGTCCCCTTTCCCCTGCTGAATCACCAAAGTTTGACAACATGGCCACACCAGCTCAAATGGTGCCCCTTAAACTCTCCAAGTTTTACCACAGATCAAGATTTTGGCAGATTTGCTCAATTTCATCATCGAAATTGAATTGCAAGTCTTTAATTAAGAAAAATAGAACAAGTCTTTAATTGAGAGGTTCTCTTTCAAGTCTATGGGAAACAGTCAGTATGAACTTTGCAACCTATTAGAATTTTGTAAAGTAACTCTTAACTAGATCAAAATTTTTACAATATTTTAAATGAAAACAGAATGAAAACAAGAAAAAAAATTAAATATTCTTTTCAGCAGTTTGAAATGCTTTACTGAAGCATAGAAGGTCTATAAATGATGAGAGAAAAAGAAAGAGGAGGTGAGAGTTTTTTTTTTTTTGGGGGGGGGGGGGGTTGTATACCTAACAGTAGCATTCCCCAGGAGAGCAACAAGCTTGCGCTTATCAGGGTTAATGGTCTTTGCATGTCCATCATACAGAAATCTTCGATGACCCATCAGAAAATGAGGGAAGTTACCACCCTGAGTTGTTACGAACACCTCACTAAACAAGCATACTGTGTAGTCCAGTGCTGCTAATTGAGAGGAATATTCCTAAAGAAGGATGAAGTTGAGTATCAGCACTTTAAAATTCCCAATAACAAATTTAGCATTGTAGAAGAGGGTAATACACTAATAGCAACAACACTAAAATTAATCTTCTGAATGATGAACTTTTGAACCTCTCATAAATTGCAGTATAAACTTGTAAGACATTAAAAACTGCATGAGATTGAAGAGAGAACCATATTTTAAGAAAAAGGTGAAAAACGACGTCCCTGATCAAGCTTTGTTTGGATGATTAACCAAGGGAGGGAAAAGAATGGCAAAAATTATAACTTTCAACTTCAATATAGCCTTGAGCATTATAAATAAATTTTTCAATGAGCAAGTCAGGAGGTAGTTTGGAGGCCAGTGATAAAAGCGGGATGTGTCCCCTCCACACTTCTCTTTTTTGGATGGGTAGGAGGGGCATCCCATCCTCTCTAAACTACTTTTCCTCCCAACACGAATTAAACTGCTGAATAAGGGGAATGATTTCTTTCATCCCTTCTTCCATAGATGCCATCCAAATTCACTCTTGAGAAGTTTTTTTTTTTTTTTGGGTGAAATACTCTTTAAGAAAATTTACCTTAAAGGGAGCAAGCTCATCTGGAGCTGCAAGTGATTCCTTCGTATGCAGATTGGGAAACATCTTTATTAAAGGAGCCAAATTTCTCTCTGCCTGATATATTTTCCCAGAAGCCAAATATATTGACGTATTGTTATCAAATCCCATGCCACGCAACATCATCCCTACCTACAAAGTGAAGGAATATACAGTAAACATGAGTCTTCTGTGTAACAAGAACTTTTTCACAGTCTTGCATAGATTTGATCTTCTCCTATTTTTTGGGCCAAGTTAACTTGCATAGATTTGTTTGGTTCTCTCATGTTGCTACTCCTTAACGATTTAATGACTGTTAATAAAAATGCAAATACTTAAGACAAAAGCCACTAGAATCAGGATACAGCAATTAGGTTAGTACCATAATCTGGTTAACGTTGTATTAAGAATTTTTTTAATAATTTAGAAAAAATATGAAAAGCATTAATTCAAATAAATAAGTACCTCCAAAGGGGTAAGTGGGCATTTTCCTTCGATTCGATTGAGGTTAGGTAGAATGACACGATCTTTTCGCTTAAATTTCCCCCTCCATCCTTTTTCTCGAACTGAATCCATCTCCAACCTTTCCACCTCTCCTCCATCATATATACAACAGGAGAATGCCACCATGTCCTGTACGTTTATAAATAATTAACATGCAATAATTACATGAAACTGGTTAATGTAAACCCCCTGACCATGAAGTACTGACACCAATAAGTTGTTCTCTACAGGGCAGAATGGGCATCAGTACCTCCTCAAAGCGTAGGTGCACAGTAACATACTTCCCATCTGTTCTTGAGCTCTTCTCAATCATTCGGTCAACCAGTTTCTTGGCTAGTATTGATATTGAAGAGGCAAACCTCAGTGCTTTATAATTAGTTAGACATCTCAAAAATTGAATGTGAGGAGGGACACTCATAGCCAATCGGTTCGCAAATGGTGATATTCGGATGGCCCTGCATAGGATTTACCAAGCATTCTTCATCCCAAAGATTATAAAAAGTTAAATAATAAAGGATGAGAAAGCCGTCCAGTACGTACCCTTCCTTTCGCATGATTGGATAAACAACTCCTAAGTAATAACTGACAGGAGCCCAAGCTTGGACCCGGATGGTAGTGATATTACTGATGTTGTAATTATACCTCTCCATTAGTACCTCGGGAAGTTCTTTGACTACCTTCACATAACCCTCAAGCGTGGATATAAAATGATCTTCATCGTATATATCCCCAAATTCACTGTGAGACAAGTAATATTAATTTAACATTCAAAAGCGGCTCCAGAAATAAGATCAGGAAAAAAATGAGCAGAGAAGCATTGCTATGTTCACTATATTGCATTTAAATATTAGAAATTCCTGTTCTGGGCTGTTTCATAAAGACATCACAAATCCAGTAAGGTCTTGTTTGATCTCATTATCACTGCTAGTTGGTTAAAACATGTACCAAATTAAAAACTTGACTTATCACATGCCAAAAATTTACAGGTGCTAACTAATTTGGCTCAACAAATCAGATTGTGGGAGATTTGCTCCTGACTTTAGGCTTTATAGCCCGTGTAACTAGATGATAACTTTTAACATGCAAAGCAATAACATTGTTAACGAGATCAATGTATTAACCTATTTTACTTTTCCAACTCATTTATTTTAAAAGAGATAAAACAATGTTAACATAGCAGGGAACTACTAGCACAAGAAACAACTTTTCTCTTGATACTGTGCAATTAAATTGCCAGACAACTGAGATCCTCAGATGCAGGAAACATTCTACTAACTAAAATAGAATAATCTTTTCCCTCTCAACCACATATTGGAGAGTTGGAAAGCATGAAATTAGCCCAATAATTCACAAGGTTTATGCTTTAAAAAGTTCTGAAGAATCACTTTTAAGGCCTAGCTTTTGTGTTTCTCAGATGATAAGTAGATACCTTGGATCTCTCCAGACATTGTGGAATTCAAAGTGAGGTATAACGAGTATAGCATTCAAAAGTCCAGCCACGGCCACAGCATTGCAAATCTGTGGAAGATACATATGATAGAAAGTATAACAAAAAATTATGGATGATGCAATGAGCTTTAAGTCTTCAATCAAAATCAAAGAGCTTAATTCAAGAGGGAAAAAGAAACTATCATACTGCAGAACGTTGCTGGTTAAGGCCTCCATTAGCCTCCACAATTAGGAAACCATTATGGCCTGAAAACGCTGAAATTGAAAAGAAGCATTGGTTTAATGTTATACACCAAGCTTAGCCTAGTGCGAATCCCACTTTATTGTCAAAGAATAGTTGGGAGTTGGAACAGGGTGATAAACAGCCCGAATAGCATAATAATTCAAAGCAAGATTTGGAAAAATTATGGAATATCCGAGTAAATAAATCCTAACCAAATAGGATAACAAGCTATCTAAGTGCATACCAAAATGTTCATGTTGCACGGCGGTAATGTTTGGACAAGGTTTGTGCTCCCTCAACTTTCTTTTGTACTTCCACACCGAAGATAACTGTTGAAACGACCAAAAACAAATCAGTTCTCCTGCGTAAAGAGAACGAGTTTCTTATTTTATGCATCTATGAAGTAGTCAATACTTGATAGTCAAACTGGTTTAAGAACAGATAATTGATGGAAAAGCCAATTTGGATAAATGAGAGAAACAGTAAATCGACTCTAAAATGCACTTCTTCGCCAGCAACCTAACAAATAATGGCAAACAATATGATGAAGAGGAAAAGGCCCTCCCTTTTTTTCATCACAAGGATCTTACCTCGTGAAATAATTACAGAGCCGCATTTTTCTTAAATTTTGCCATGAGGCATTAGCGGCTAGTTAAGGGTGAGAGAAGAAAAAGATTTAAACAGAACTTTGAGTTACCATCATCTTTTAGTTTGATTTTTATCAGAAGAGAAGAAATTTTAGCACCTGGCTTATGCTGCGGTGAGCATGCCACACGTGAATTTCACTTTCATTATATATAGGCGTGCCATTTTCTACACATCAAGTGGGGAGGATTGGTATATTGATGCTCACTAAAAGTATTAGTTCCATTCCCTTCCAGAATAGGATCACAGAATAAGGCGAACACGACAGAGAATGCAGTGCAAATAAGAGAAACCCGGGAAACGAACCTCCACTGCGGACGAATTATCAGACTCAATATCGGGCCAAAGCTTTTGAAAAATCTCGTGACTACGATAAATTGCGCCGGGAACAGAGGCATGGCCAATGAGGGCAGAGAACGGCCCAACGCACATGAGCAAGCCAGAGATGTAGAGAAGTGGCAGAAGGAAGAAATAGCGGAGATTCCGGCGAGCAATGATACCGGCGGCAAAACTTTCTAGACGACGGGTGGTATGAGAGAGAGCTTTGGGCCGCAATCGTCGGCGGCAATGAGATATGTTAGTGGAAGATTGACGGCGCGGTGACCTTGGTGGGCTCGGAGAGCTGCTGCTACCACTCTCGGTTGCGTAGCCATTTCCAGTGTGAGCAGGGCTCTTAGATTTCATCGCAAGCTAAGCCAGCGATGACGATGATCACCTCCTGCAGTCTCAAAACCAGTAATGAAATACAGGGAGGGAGAGAACAGAACAATGTGAGTTCTAGTTTGAGGCCAGTGAAACAGAGACGTGCCTGTAATTTTCGGGGAGGTCGTAGCTATGACTTGGGAAGCGAAGTGTGAGTGCTTTCTTTGCTCCGGCTCCCATCACCCAGATTTTTATTTTTTTTATTTTATGTAGTGAATAGAGAAGCAGGGCCCACTCAGCTGCTCAGAACAGAGTGTGTACGGGTGTAAGCATGGCCAGGAGGGATGGTTTTGGCTTCGACTTGAGGGTGGAGACACAACCGACGAAAGTGACGGTTGGGAAAATTGTGAATGAAATAACGGGATTGGTAATTTGGTATTGTTACGGCTTATTTTACTCCTCCGGTCCTAATATAAGACCCTTATACTGGTGTGTATAAGGGTCTTACATATCGGAGCATATTGAATTGGATTGGAAGCTTGTGGCTTGGCCACTGTCAATATTATTTCATTTTGTTTCAAATAAATTATTCAACTATAAGATAAATTTTATTATCTCTAATTCTTAATATAAAAATTAGTTAACTAATTTAAGTTGATTAAAAAAATTAATTAAATTAATTATTTTAATAACTAGGTATTGTCTTTTCTGTAGTTTTTTTACTCGTTAAGTATCATTTAATAAAATATTTAATATTTCTAACTACTATAAGAAATATCTTTAAAATGATAGATAAATATAAAAGACAAAATAAATTGAGATTTTATATTTAGAATTAAATTAAAAATTAAACTAAGAATCAAAACTAATAATTATTATTGCTCGCCACTTTCGCTTGTGTTTGTAGTTATAGGCTTTCAGGGATGAGCTGGCGCGAAGCCTTTATTAAACCAAAACAAGTTGTGTTGACATATTAAGTTCTTATACTCTATTTAGATGAAAAGAAAAGTTGAGAGTTCTGTTGGATAGAAGAAAAGTTGAGAGGAAAGAAAATAAGAGGAGAAAAAATAGAGAGAAAGAAAAACTAGAGAGAAGTTGTCATTATCCTTCTTGTTTGGATGGATGAGAGAAAATAAAGATGAGAGAAAATTAGTAAATATCTAAATAACTAAAATATTCTTATCAAAATATATCATATTTAAAATTAAATTAAGTTAAATATTGTAATAAAAAAATTATATTAACATTAGCATAGTCAAATAACTTAAAATCAAGTTATTTGATTTATATATTTTTTCGTATTATTATGTTTTAAAACCAAATTATTTAATAAAAATATTGTTTTAAGATAAAAAATAAAAAGCGAATAACTTTTTAAATATAATAAAAGAAAATAAATGCGGAGAGGAAAAGAGAAGAAGGGTAATTATGAAAATCTTGTTTTTTATTCCAAATCTCTACATGTACGGAGAGAAAATAAAGCACGGGATCCATCTTATTTTCTCATCTACTTTTCCTTCCTCCTATATTTTTTCTCTATCCAAACAAGAAGAAACTTATTTCTCTCCATGTTTTCCTCACTAGTTTTCTTTTCTCCCCAATTTTCTTTCAATCCAGGCAAGGGGTTAGTGTGTCATTTGCGCACATTTTAAATTGCAATAGAAAATACTGCTCATGTTGATATAAGACTTAATTATTAAATTAATTTTAGTTTTAAATGTAAGATCTATTTTTTATATTTATTATTTTTTTAAAATTATCCATACTAATGCTCTATCAGTCATAATCAAATTGAAGAAAGAAGGAAAATATTAAAAAAAGTGATTATGATATTTTTAAAAAGTATGTCGTGTTTTTTATAATCAACCGACTTACTTGATTTTTTTAATCTAATCAGATTAGTTAAATAGATCTTGAAAGTGTTTTTCCAACAAATAAAATTAATTCGGTTAGCAAGAGTTTGGGAAAAGAGTGTATGGAACATGAATATCTATTTCTCGAAGAAAAATTAACGAGTTGTCATTGTTTAACGTTAAAATTATTACATCTCAGGTGAAATAATTACTCATCTCCAAGTCACCATTGAAACCTAAAACTTTAAAATAATAACCATGACTGTTTACGACTTTGTTTTCATTTAAGATAATTATAATTGTTACTACCTCCAATCCTAATTACAAGAGTCAGTTGACTAATTTGAAGAAATTAAAAAAGTCAGTTGAGTTAATTATTTTTCCTAAATATGTATTGTCTTTTTTAAAATATCGTTACTAATCAAGTGTATTGACTAGAACTATAATTATTAAAAGGACTATCTTGAAAAAAATTGAGTAAATATGAGAAACAAAATGGATTGGGGTCTTATATTTAGGACCAAAATAAAAGTCAAACAGGATCTTATATTAAGCATCGGATGTAGTATTTCTTAAACTAAAGTAATCACCTATCTCTAAACCTCAACTGAAATTTTCAATTTTGAAACAATAGCTGTCGATGTTTAAAATTCAGTTACTACTTCACATAATAAAAATTATTACTTCTTAAGATAAAATAGTGATTCTTCCTCAAAGTACCCTCTCCTAAATAGATTTTTTTTTTCCTAATTGCTTTCTGGAGATTACATTAAAAAACATGATGTTCCATGATCCCAATATGCGCGTGAGAGAGAAAAATATTCACATATTTGAAGAGGATAGGAGTTTTGCGTCATCCTCCCAGTGAAATACAGCAGGGACGGAAGAGAGAAATAGTACTTGCAGGTGAAGCAAACGAGAGGGGCCACCAGGAAACCGACGATTCTGACTAGAGCTTGTGTGGGTTATGAATTGGCTCAAGTAAGGAATAAGGTTAAACCCAACAAATGAGCAAGGAATAACCAAATCTTTTGACAGGCTATTTTCTTTTCTTTTATGCTAGGCGAAATAACTAAATCTTTTTAAGATCTTAGCCAATAAATAACAAAATTTTAAATGACCCAGCTTTTTCCTTGTTGGATATCTGGGAATGTTGCCTTCGGATTCATGCTGGCTGCGAATTCAATCGGGATGCCATATAAATTTGAAGAAATGGAAAACCGGGAATTACAGTGAAGACAAAAACGACAAATTAGAAGTACGGCGAAAAGACGGTCGGTAACGGAACGGGGTTGCTGGCGGGGGAACGGGGTCATACTCTGGCAGAGGCGGTCGGCAAAGTGAGTCGCCTCGGTTTCGCTGCTCACATCATTTTATTTAAATCGATTGATTAAAAAAATCACGAAAAAAAACGTTTAAAATGAAAAAATTATAAATAGAGACTCATTACAATATTAGTATAGATTTTGATAATAATTGATAATTAAATGATAATAATTTTATAAATTGGTATTTATGTGTAATTTTTTAATTTTTGCGGTTTTTTTGTGATTTTTTCTGAAAAAATCGTAAAGAAAGAGCGGGGAATATGAAAAATTATAAATAGGAGCCGTTACAATATTATTATGGGTTTTGATAATAATAATAATATAGATTTTGATAATAATTTTTATAAATGAGTTTTTTGCCTGTAATTTTTCAAATTCTACTGTCTTTATTCGTGATAGTCCCATTTTTTCTTGATAAAATACTCAAAAAGAAACATTTTAAAACCCTCTCATTTGGCTTTTTATTCAGGCCTTCCAATCTAAATATTCAGCTTTTAATCGCCGCTTTTTCTTTCGTCCCATCTTCCGCCCTTTTTTCAACAGTCATGTCATGCTCCTTATAATGACAATTAAAACCCTCGTTTACACCGTGCCTTGATGTGTCTTACCCTTTTGTCAATGTTAAACCGTCGCAGCAGGAATACATGAAAGAAGGTATTTAAAGGTAATTAAAATAGACAGACGAAAACGAAAATAATCACTAGTTAGGCATGCCTATTCCATGCATTCGCTGGGATTGAAAATGACAGCAGAAGCGTACAGGTAGAGGAGGGACCAGATCAACAATCACCAAAACCGTAAAAGCAAGGTCGTTGCATCCTTCTTATTTAATATTTTTTTTAATTATTAATATAAAACCTAATTAATTTATTTGAGTAGATATTAATAAAATGAATTAAATCTTATATTAATATTAATTTTTTAATTAGTTGTACAGGAGGGTAATACAGCGGAGCCTACGCTTTAGTTGCCGATCACGAAAATAGAGGGCAACTGGTAAATTGAGTCATGTGAGAATTTGAGCATTAGGAGGGCCGAGGTGGGGGGGCCGCCTGAATCACCGGCGAGATATGCGGTTGATCTCTAGGACCTTTTTTGCATTTTTTGGTACTAAATCTCTAGCGCCTTTTGTCTATGTTTGAAATTCACGGAAGTGCCTTTGGCCCCAAAAAAAAAAACAGAGAAAAGTGCCACACGACTCGCAGGAGTTGACAAGATTGTTATTTTTTGACGTCGATGAGGGCATTTATGTAAAATCAAGCTTCTCCATGTGTCCTCCATCGTTCCTGATTAGATGGGCATTGTTGAATAATAGACCGGCAGATCCATCCCCCACTGTGCTACTGAATGTCATGGAATTGCTTTCAACTTTTCACTTCTCAGTTCTACTTCCAGTTTGGTCCAAAGGGAAGAAAGTTCCCTTTGGAGAATCAGATTTTCAAATGAAAAATGATAAAAAAAAAAAGAGCTAAAAATTAATAAATAAAAAATGTGAACAAAAATTTGTTATTACTTATAGATTTAGTGTTATCAATACCAAAAAAATTTTGTTATTAAATCTGAGTTGGGATTTAGTAATTTCCTTTTTTTTTTGTGGTCGTTTTTCCATTTTCAAATTTTCGTTTGCAATAAACAGAGACGCAATTTTCTCGCTGACGAGTTTCCAAAGATAGAATATAAAAACAAGAGCGATGACATTGCATGTGCCGGCGTATCTAGAATTCAGCTGTTATCTTGGATCACAACCCTCTTATCTCTACTCAGGTCCTTTAATTTTTGGTTAAGAGGGGAAAAAAATGAAACAATAGGCTCAAGATTTGTTGTCTGAGCAGTGTGTTTCTCCAATACCCACAACGTGTTGAGGAATTTTATGCTCGCCGATTACCAAGGAAACCATGAAAAAAAAATCGCTGCTGTTGCTTTGCTTGTTATTAAGAGACTGTGTTTGTATTCTTCCATAACTTCCACGTCTTGTTCAAATGCCTTGGAGTATGTCGCTATCTGATCGCAAGGCGTGTGTTTGGTGCTCTACAGCTGAATCCTATAATTAGAGAGAGTTTAGTGAGGTTGCAAGTAACTGAGGCATTCGGGAAATTGATTTGCAAGTAAAACCGTGTAATTGGATGGCTGATTACGTCCTCTTGTACATCCCAAGTAACCACGCAAAAGCCCAAATGGGTTAATCCTTTAATTTCATTGAGCCAACAAATTTTACTCTTCCTTACCTGGCTTTCCCCTAAATGCTCACTTTTCCTAACTCGATTGAAAATTTCCATGGAGTTGCCTAACAGGTTTGTTTTAGGATGTTAATTTATTGAATGTAGTTTGGACGATTGATTCTTCGTATAGTATAGCAATCATGAAGCTAATTCATTGAGGGGGGAGGGCTGGGTGTTCGCCGCATACCGAGCGCGGCTTCTACGTACGTACAAGAACAACACGCAATTATTCCTTTGGGTTCTAAACACGGAGCTAATTTTTTTTAAAAATAATTTTAAACATAAAAAGTCAATTCATTGCACACCTCCAAGTTTAAAAATCTTTCTCTAATTATTCATATTAATTACATATATTAAAAATGTCTTCCACCTGTTCAACTAAATGAGCTATTTTAACAAACATATTTTTATTATAAATAACTAAATTAATTAATTGTCTTATTGTTTATAATTTAATTATCTAGTCCTTACCTTTGAAATCAGAGTACAAATTAAAACACAAAAAATGAAACACACCCACACAACTTAAAGAGTGTTTGGGTAAGATCAAAACCATGATTTCAGAAGTATTTTTACAGTATACGAAATAAATATATAAAAAAATTTGTTTCGATTTGTGAAAAAATACTTCTGAAAAGTAATTATTGGAGTATCCAAACACATTTTTAGAAGTATTCAAGTATAGTGCACATATATTGGCGAAATCATACATATTTCGGACAAGGGTTAGACCTATATTGTGAAATACTCTTTCGATCCTAAATATAAGACTCTTTTTATAATATAAATTGTACTATAAAAAAGACTTATATTTAAGACCGGAAGAGTAATTTTCAGATCTCCTAAGCTGCAGAAGTTCCAGGAACTGAGGATGGAATTGAATGCCTCTAAATCAAATAATGGGTTGTTCAAGGTCGAAGTAACTGAAGGGAAAGCCTGATCTTGTATATTTGTACAAAAGTGGAAGGAATGACCCCCCCCCCCAGTATATGTAAATGTTATGGGACCAGTTCAGCGAGAGTCAGTTAATTAATGATAAGATGAATGTGCCATTTTCTGTTGGATGCAAAAATTAAATGGCGTTGCTTTTATTTCTCCTAGCTACCTGATCATCAGTCCATCTCCCAGTATGGCTCCGGTGCCATGCCCCATGCTCCTCTCACCTCATTTCATCCGATGACTTCTTTTGGGCCAATTATTCAGAGTAGAGACTAGAGATGTCAGACCCGATGGATTAGGCCATAATAAGAGAAACGAGCCCACGCGGGATCATCGATTCAAGAAGAACCGCTTCAGTAATCTTCACCTCCAATCCCCACATTGATCAGTGATGATAAAGGGACTAATTTCCCCTTTTTAACATCAGAAGGAATTGAAGCAATAAAGGAAAACTTGGAACTGAACATAATCAAAACCCACAAGGCTCTCAAATGTCAGGGAAGCATGCTTTACCTTCACGAAGAATTTATTTATTTATTCAACCAAACATTATCCACCCCATGAAATCATTATAATTTGCATTCACTACGAGAACGTCAGCAATACTCATAGTACCTAGGAAGCTACGATAGTCGAGATAAGTATAACTAAAAGGCAGGTATCCCCTCAGACACTCAGCAACGTTTCAGAGGCTCCAACCCTGTCCCGCGGGATCAGCCGTAACTCTGACCCATGCTTGAGGAAAACGTTGCCTGAAAATGTCATTGAAATGCATGTCAACCCAATGATGTCAGCAATTGTAACCAAGCTAGTATTAATTTATTATGCATATTGAATTCACGGTCACCCATACAACTTATAGGAGCCAGAGATTGCAACTCGACTACATGAATCATGCAGTCTCAAAAAATTGTAAGCAAAACGCCAAATACCATTACCATTGTTATTCAATAAAGTATTTCTTTTGTTTTGTGCATGATTTATTATATGAGTATTAAGTATTGACCAATATGGGACACAGAGTGAAACTAATATCACAGTAAACTAACTAAAATTAAGCATTGTCAGCCACCCAAAGCCAGCTCAGGTAATGAAGATGAGATGGGATACAAGGTTAAAATCCTCCAACTGTAGTTTATTTATTTCTTTTTTCTGAAAAAAAAAAAAACAGAAAGCTGACAATTTGACATACCTGCGCTCTGCTGTGGATTTATCCCAACACCATCTGCATCCAGAGGAAATAATAAGTATCATTTGTAGCACATCTGAGATGAAGGTGCTAATAAGAAAGATGAGATATTAAATCGCAAGTCTTCCAGGCACACAAATCAAGTGTTAATAGTAAAAAAAGTATTCTGAACATCATAGACCAATGACTGTCATTTTCCTACCACAACTCGAGAGGATCCATATAAATTGGCACCGGAAAAAGCCAAGAAACAGTGAACGAAGGACTAGTGGGGTGTGCACCCACAAAAAAAAAAAAAAAAAAGGGAATGATGAGTTCGCCAACTAAAAGATACAATCCGAAATTTAGAAGCTACAAGCATTTAATTTGTCAGCTTCTCCCAATGAAATCTCAATATCTATTCATTTTCAATCTTGCACTTTGATTTTGGAATGACAAGGGGCCACTTTCGCAAAAGATATAACTGGGCAAAATTTTTAAGCAAAGTGACAAAGTGATCAGAACATCCAATTGGCTATGTTGCTGCTAAGAATCATATGAACACGAATGCTGGATATAACAGAACCTTGGTCAGGGCGTTTGTATACCCAACCCAGAGAACAAACCTCTGGAAATCAATCTTCATTTAAAATAGAGAGGGCACATCACATACAATGTTGGCCACTACACCATGGCATCAAAAGTTACAACATCGCCAAGGTTACATGGCACCTAGTAAAAATTCATATTTCAATGGACTAATAATATCGTTAAAAGTCCAGTGCATCGTCCACCAGAGGTTTTTTCATGCAGAGGAAGAAAAGGACTTTTGGGGATTTTAGTTTTTTTCCATACAACGTGATGTATTCAACAAACAAAGAACAGTCAATCTCAGTGTATATCAAGAAACAATAAGGTTCAACAACAACAACAACAATGAGTCTTTTTCCACTAGGTGGGGGAGAAACAATAAGGTTAAGAAAGAAAAAAAAGTTTGCATCTCAATTTATACGATAATAGTAGTGAAGAACTTGAAATTAATTTCCATTTAGAGTTTAATCCTTGTTGTTCCTGAAGCATGTCAACATAAGCTAAGAAAAAAGTGTGCCAACGCAAAATAACATCTAGTCCAAGATTATGATCAAGTGCTTTTCTGCTGCAGAGTATTAGCAAAGAGTTATCAGAGCGAATACAATTCGGAATTGGAAAAACTCCGCGTAAATGGAAATGGACTCTGAATAATCCAAAAACTTTACAACTCAACAACCCTCGTCTGACGATCCGATCTTTGATCACATTGTTAAAAAATTCGAACAGAAATTCAGTTTAACAACATAAAATTAAGAAACATAAGAGGAAAAAAAAGAGTTAGGAAACACACAACGATGGAGAAAATAAAAAATCTGAGAGACAAGCTACAGAGGTAATTACCGTTGGTGATAATCGCGCTGGTCTGTGGGGGCACTTTGAATTCTTCAGCTGCGAATTTGAGGACGGCAGTAAAAGGGGCAGCCTCTGGAACGCTAAATCTGAGATTGAGAAGGGCAAGATATTGAGAGATTGAGAAACGACGAAAAACGAATTGGAACTAGAAGCTCAGAAACAAAGGCAATAAGAGAAAACACGAGGATATGGGAAATTGCGTACACTTTGAAGGGTAACTTTGGATCGGAGGTCAGGGTAACTTTGAAGGAGACCTTCCCACCGCCCGCCATTTTTCACTTCAGCGGAATGCCCTCGTGCTCGGGACACCGGTGATCGCTATAAATACGTCTGCGACCATAGTGTTTGCGTATTTGTGACGTCCATTGTCGTATTACTGGCCCTTCCCATGTGTCTTCTCACCGGCGTTAAAACGACATGCGCAATGCCATTGTGTCGTCGTTAACGAGTCGACTCGTGGCCCCACATTCCCATACGCTAATCGCCTGAGCAGCTAAATACAATTTTAAGAATCTCGTTACATAGTTATTTCTTTCTGCTTCGACGGACTCCAATTTGCTCAATAGAATAAAGATGCAAACCTGTCACGTCCTCCTGTTGTTTTTTTTGGTCAAATTGTCACGTCCTCCTTGACTCAACGTGATATTGCAAATTCCAACTATGAATCCGTGGCATCCCTCTCGGAATAGATATCGTTTCTTAATTTCTATAATTTTATAACAATTAATATCAATAATAAGTATAAGCATTGTGCTTTTTTTTTTTTTTAAGTTCCTCTTTTCTGACCCGGCCAAACACACCAATAGGAACTTTCTCCTTCATCCTCCCCTTTTATTTTCGATTTTTTTGAATTTAGCCTTGATCTAAAAATTTCTGGATCATTGTCATCCTGTTTTCAGTTGAGTCAGCAATGATATCAAAATGATATATTTTTGAACACAGAAAAACTCAGTCGATGATATGGAAAACAATTTTAAGAGTTGTGTTGAGGTCGTTGTGATAAATACTTTAATTTTAGAGATTTAAACATGATTTATATGCTTGTGTTATTGCGAGCTGACAAATTTCCTGCCCATGTTTATATTTATTGACTTTGATCACCAAGGCTCCAATCCAAAACGCTTTGGATTTTGCCAAAACTACATATAAATAGATGAGAAGGCCTGATCTAAATTAAGGAAAAATAATTAACACAACAGAGAGCAAGGAGAACGTACAAAAGAGGCGGTTGCACTTGCCCTTCCCAAATTTTTCTTGAACCCAAGGAAAAGAATTTTAACAAATTGTTGAAACATATCGCAACCAAAGTGAAACAGCTTCCGACAGACGTTATTCGTCCAAAAGAGAGAGGAAAAAAGCAGGTTGGTTCTTCAGTCCAAAATCGTTCATGTCAAACGAACTGGATCAGAAGAACCGAATTTATATAAATATTAACCAGCTTCAGAACAGATTCCACAGACTAAGCATCGAGTATCCCACAGTCACCCCGACCATCCACCTTCCGATTAACGAGCTTAGGCCCTTCGATCCATTGCAATGGAGCTTGTGGTCATGGTACGAGCACACTTGTTGCTTCCTGCAGATTAATATGCCCACCAGCAAAATGTTATGTTTACTTTTGCTATCACAATACAAAGAATATAGCTTCAATATATATATATATATATAGGCAAGTAAATATACACATATATAAGCACATATCTTATTACACTACAAACCTGGAGGAGCAGAAGGCAATGACATAGTCAGGACTCGTGCAGGTGAAAATACTTGATGGATCATCGTATGCATAACTATAAGAATTAGGGCACGCGTCCTTAAACTTCTTGGAGTAATACGTAGGTTGGCACGTAGTGGGGTTCCCATAATTGCCTCTACAGCAATACTCATCGGTGTTGAACACGTCGCAAGCGCTCCGGCACCCCACGACTTTGCCGTTGGACTTCACGGCGAGCTCTGACGGACACTTTGGTCTCATGTCATAGTCGCACCCAACCGTGGTGCAATTTCCTTTTCCATTTATGGGCAGAATAGCTACCGGCACGTTGAAGCCATCGACGAGGCTCACGTCGTAGAAATCCGAGGCCACGAGGGTAAATTCCGCAAGTGAAGCAGGAGGCTTTCCCGAGGCTGAGCATTTCAAGGAGGAACCACAGGCTCCTGTCACGCACGATCCGTTTCCACTGGAATCGAATTTGCATCCGGTTCGAGCCCATATCCGACCCGACCAGCTCACGGGGGCAGTGAAGACACGGGATTGGTGTGGTTTCAGCAAGAAGCCGCCACCGTCGAAGTTGTCCCCTGGTGTGACGGCGGGCCAGATGTTTTCCTTACAGTTGTTGATTATGGTGAAGACTCTGGCTGACTCGCACGGGTGCAGCACTGTGCTCCATTGAAGCAAGAAAAAAATGAATAATTTGGAAGATTGCACAAACAATAATAATATAGGATTATATTATTACCTGATGAAATGATGGCTAGAATAATGGAGATTGGTAACAACGTTTGGAGATGTAATGCCATGATGTGTGTGCTGGGTTGTGTGGAAGGGTTGAGGGTGCAAATGAAGCGGTGGAGGTATAAAAGGAGGTGAAGAGCGTGCGAGGGCGGTTTTCAGTGGTAGGGAGGATAAGAGAAGAAAAAAGGTAAGTGAATCAAAGAAGCAAAAGGCATGCTTTTGAGGGAAAGAAGGGATGATTCTTTTCCTAATACTCATACGCAAGTCTGTGCTGGGTTCTATATTCCTCATAACTGTAGTGGTGTGTGCAGGGTTTGAGGCTACTTATTTGATCTTTTTTTAATGATAGTTCTTAATTTAATGGTTTTGGCTGGGGTGGGAAGCTGATTCTTTTCCTACGCCTCTTGCAATTTCTTAAAACGGTGGGGGGATTCAAGCTCACTCAATGCTGCATAAAGGCATCTTTCTTGATCAACTCAATCCAGGCATTCGAGCGCAGTTTAAACACCCTCTTGCCCCTTGAGAATTCTACCAAGCATCTGGGCCTATCGTTATTTCTGTTGTAGAATATCCTGTTCTAACGAACCCAAACAGCATCAGCATTGCAAGAAAACTTTCCCTATGATCCACCTCAGGCCCAGGCCACAGTTTAACTTTCGGATTCTTGTGTTGGGCTTTCGGGAAAAAATTTGCAACGGATTGATGGGATGTGAAAAGGGGTGGCTATAACAATTATTTTTTTTTGACTGGCTATAACAAATTAGATTTAGTAAGATGGTGTAGGGGTGTGCATGGGCAGGGCTGGGCAGGGCAGGACCCCTGCCCGATGCCCAGCCCGAATATGCGGGCTGTAAAATGCAGCCCGCTGCCGGCCCTGCCCACTAGAAGCCCTAGACATTTTGGGCAGGGCTAATGCGGGCTGGGCAGGCGGGCTTTTCTTGCCCAATGTTACAATTCAAGTCTTGAAATTTAAAATACTACCATATGTTTTAACAAAATCTATACTCCAGGAATTATAATATCCTGTTTTTTAAAAACAAGACAATAAAAATTATAATTAAAGCTTAAAGTTCAAATGATTTGCATCAATCTCCACGATACAAGCTACGTTAACATATTCAATTATATTATTAACTTATGATTCAATATAATCTATAGTGTTCTATATGTCACATTCAAATTAGTATAATTTCATGATATATGAAGTAATATCAACATGAAAAGTTAAAAGACAATTATAGTACATAGCAAAGTAATTTAGAAAAGTTAAAAAAAAAGGTGGTATTTCTAAAATAACTAAAACTTTAAAAATCTAGAGTCTTATGGAGCAATTTCCTTTGTATTGAAATATAATATCTTAATATTGCACTATATTTATTATAATTCTAGCAAAAAAATACATATTATAATATAATAATCACAAATACATATATATTTTTTTGGGCAGGGCCAAATGGGCAGGGCCGCATGCCATGCCCGTGGCCCAGCCCTGCCCGTGATTAGCCCTGCCCAAACATGCCCATTTTTTCTTCGGGCCACTTCTTTTTGGGCTGGGCAGGGCGTTTTTTTGGTGGGCACGGGCGGGCATACCGGGCTATTGGGCATCATGAACACCCTAAGATGGTGTATACGAAAAAAAAATTTTAGTAAGAAGGGCTAATTCTTAGTAACATGGTAAAATAAAGTTCAAATTTTATTAAGAGATATATTCACATTTAATATTTCTTAATGTATAAAATAAAATTACCTTCTCTAAAGGAATACCTATGCGTTAGAACCACAAAAAAAAAAAACAGACATAACTATTAACTAACAAGATTAAGTTTAGTAGAAGCCGGAATAGGATAATTCCTCACAACACGAGGAATTCAAATTCAAATTCTTATTAAAAGAGATACCACATTTAATGTTCCCATTATCAGGTGCGTGGCTTTTTCAGGTTAAAAAAAATGGTGTGGACCTGACGTTGATTATATCAACCGACGTTCCCGTATATCTTTTTTCACCTTTCGCTTTTTTTACTATCTGCGGATCCAATCAAATGAAATCATCTGATCAATGATCACATGAAAAAATGTGCTAATGCTAGGGGAGCAAGGCAATGCGATATTTCATCTCTTTTAAAGCCTTGTGCGGGTCCCAGTATATGGATTAAAGATCAAGAAAATAAAGGCAGTGGCATTCTCATATGCCTATCTATCCCCTCCCTTGCCGTGCCGGAGGTTGCAACTTATCCATTCATTGATTCAAAAGTGACGATTAATTAGGCCATCAGTGCCGTCGCCATCAAGCTCAATTGTTTGATTAACTGTTACCTCATTAAAAAGAAAGAAAGAAAAGCAAAAGAGCCCAACAGCTACTGTTATTATGTAACTATCTAGGCAGCATCTCAGAGAAAGCAACGCTTCACGTGGTTTTCCTGGTGTGTTATGTGTTATGTTCAATAATTGTCCATAGGATACGATCCAATTTACCCCACTCCATATGAGAAATCATAAAGCTGGTTTATCTTTTGGTTTATCAAATTAAAGTCGAATCACTCGTCATCATTTTTGTTACGGATGCATCGAGACTCAAGACTCAAGCTATGATTAAAAGTCCCCACTCTCAATTCACCCCATCCAATCCATCACCTGTCAATTTGCGACTTCAACAGCATCTATAATTCAATTATTTATCAACTAAAGTTATCTTGTTTAAGCGAAAACAAAAGCACTCACACTGCTTGAACTGTTCATAGTCACAGGCAAAGCTTCAGTTTTAAGACTCGAGACAGTGATTGTTTTTTAGAGTATTCAAGTTTTGATTCGTCGTATTGTAAGAGATTAACTCATTTGACTGTGATGATGACATGGGAAGGAAAATATGAAAAAGAACCTGGGGGGGCCTAGTTTTGAGGTTGGAATCGGGCTTCATGGATCAGTTAGAAATTGGGCCATGCTGATCGGGGTTGACCACCTTATCCTACAAGATGTGATGCTTGCCATAAGAAACTTTTCTTTCTGCTCATTTTGAGTTGATGTTTCCCTTCTTTTGACCACAAGATAAGGATCATCTCATAACTATATCCGAAAGGATTAGAACTACAACTATAATTAATCCGTCTTGCTCTTTTGTTTTTTTGGTCAAATTCATTCTTCTTGTTCAACCCGTGAAAATATTCGCAACTCGCAAACAGCCACGAACAAACGAATGCCTTTGACTCTGCCATTATTAAAGCTGGGAATCCGCGAGACACAATGGCAGGATTAATTTTGACAACTAATCGTGACTTCATGAGGCACTCAGCACCATCATTAGCCCATGCCACATCAATGGCCCATACATTCAAAATATATAGGTAGTTTCAGAAAGCAAATAATATGGAAAAACGAAAAGAAAAGAATTGAGAAAGGATGGGTTTCATTAGATTTTTTTTTGGCAAAGCCAGTTGGAACACGTGTGGTGCTAATCATGATTAGCACCAAGCCCCTCTTAAAAGCAATCATTCACTCCATCTTAGTCTCCCCCACCTAGACGCCAACACTCATACTCACTCAAACTTTTTTCCAATCTTGCTCCGTAGAAAAATCTCTCTTTTTTCTCGCTTTTCCCCCATCCACATTCATGATCGATCGGCATGCATGAGCTCTTTCGTATTAAAGAAAAAAGAGTAGGCCAGCAATGGGCCATCCTGCTCGTGCAATGCAGCTAGCCTGGCCCCATCGAAACCACAAGTAACAATTAAACTTAAATAAAAGTAAGCAGTGGTTGAAAGTGAAATATCACCCTCAAAACTGATGCCGAAGCTGCACCTTGGTGATAGAAAAATTACGAAGGTTGACTAAATCTTATGGCTACATAAATTACTTGAGCTTGGGGTGAACAAACAAGGTCCCCACCAATGGATTATTCAGTTTATTGGTGACGAAAAAGTTTATATAAGGAAAGGGGAGCTGCATAGGATGTGAAGGGAGGGTGAAAAGAAAACTTCTCTGATCTCTCTCTTTAGTCACTCAGTTCATCTTCTTCTTCCTCATAATTCTTGAAGCTGCAACCATGGCTTCCGAGAAGGTTGAGACAGTGGTTGCTGGAAACTACTTGGAAATGGAGAGAGAAGATGAAGATTCTAAGTCAGCTAGGGGCAAGCTATCGAGGTTCTTCTGGCATGGTGGCTCGGTTTATGATGCATGGTTTAGCTGTGCTTCTAATCAGGCACTGATTAAACATCACACATCACAGTTTATTTTATTCCCTGGTTCGAAAGAAGCAGTGTCATTTTTTTCTCATGCTCACTAACTGTGTGTCGTAATTAATGCAGGTTGCACAAGTGTTACTGACATTACCATATTCATTTTCCCAACTGGGGATGTTATCTGGGATTCTATTTCAACTTTTTTATGGGTTGATGGGAAGCTGGACCGCTTACCTCATCAGCATCCTTTATGTTGAGTACAGAACCAGAAAAGAAAGAGAAAAGGTTGATTTCAGAAACCATGTGATTCAGGTAATTATGTTCTAGTTTCTTGACTCCTTCAATTCATACACTACGTGGACCCTTGTATCGATATTGATGGGCTGCTTTAGGTTCTTCTTGTACTAATCCTGCTGTTCTTGTAGTGGTTTGAAGTTCTTGATGGACTCCTAGGCAAACACTGGAGAAACATAGGTCTCTTTTTCAACTGCACTTTCCTATTGTTTGGATCAGTGATTCAACTAATTGCCTGCGCAAGGTAGGCCTTTGATTCAGGGTTTTTGTGTATCTAGTAACTCTTTAAATGTTATATAGTAGCTAAAACGTGGATATTTCGTTTCTCTAATAATAAATGCTTCAGTAACATATACTACATAAACGACAACCTCGACAAGAGAACCTGGACTTACATCTTTGGCGCCTGCTGCGCGACAACAGTGTTCATCCCTTCTTTCCACAATTATAGAATCTGGTCATTCTTGGGCCTCATCATGACCAGTTACACCGCATGGTATCTCACAGCAGCCTCCCTTCTCCACGGACAGGTAAGTTCCCATTCACAAGCCAGATCATGATTTTGGAGTTGAAAAATAAAGAGTACCATCAGAACCTGCTGTTCAATAATTGTTTCTCCACATTAATAACGGGAGATACACTTTTTTGAAGGTTGAGGGGGTGAAGCACTCGGGACCAGCCAAATTAGTTCTCTACTTTACTGGGGCTACTAACATTCTCTACACTTTTGGTGGACATGCTGTCACAGTGTGAGGCCTCGAGTTTGGATTCAATCTTACAAACACACAGTATTTTACGGGGTATAATATTGCAATAACTGCAAAGCATGAACTTAATGGTTTATATTGCAGGGAAATTATGCATGCGATGTGGAAGCCTCAGAAGTTCAAGATGATATATCTATTGGCAACATTATATGTGTTGACTTTGACTTTACCATCAGCAGCAGCTGTGTATTGGGCATTCGGGGACATGCTCCTTACTCATTCCAATGCGCTCTCTTTGCTCCCAAGGACAGGCTTCAGGGATGTTGCTGTCATTCTCATGCTTATTCACCAGGTCTCTCTCATCATACTCAATATAAGTAGCTTCTTCTCAGACAAGAAAAACTACATATTGGGGGCGTTTATTAAAGAATGAGTGATGCTTTTTGCAGTTCATAACTTTTGGATTTGCCTGCACTCCTCTGTACTTCGTGTGGGAAAAACTCATCGGAGTGCATGAAACCAAGAGTTTGTTCAAGAGGGCGCTGGCTAGACTTCCTGTGGTGATCCCAATATGGTTTCTTGCCATCATATTCCCTTTCTTTGGGCCCATTAACTCAACTGTTGGATCTCTCTTGGTCAGCTTCACTGTTTACATTATTCCGGCCATGGCACACATGGTCACTTTTGCTTCTGCCCCGGCTAGAGAGGTAAGCCACCTCTACACCATGCATATGAAATATGTTTTCTTCATTTGTCTCTTATAAATTATAAAACGAACCAATCTCTCTAATGCTGCGTATTTTTCATTTCTTCTCAGAATGCTGTGGAGAGACCACCGTCGATTGTGGGAGGATGGGTAGGAACGTACTCCGTGAACGTGTTTGTGGTGGTGTGGGTTCTGGTGGTAGGATTTGGGTTGGGAGGATGGGCGAGCATGCTAAATTTCATACAACAGATAAACACATTTGGGCTGTTCGCCAAGTGCTATCAGTGTCCTCCTCATAAGGCATAATTACTATATTTTCACTCCTTGTGATACTTACAGTGTGTAAAGAAGAGATTGGCTTTTGTAACTTTTCCTCCTTTTATTTAATTTCCCCTCCTCCTTTGTTTTTTTGTTTTTTTTTTTTTTTCACTGTAAGAGGCCATGGACTAGTGTTGATTGTTTCGGCGCAAGGTGTGATGGCAATCACGGCCACCCCCTATACGGACTTACAGTTAAAACTTTGCTGTGTGCTAATTAATCATTTCTTGTTATGCAACTACCTTGCATTTTTCAGGACGACCTTGCTTCTTTTCTCTCTCTCTACTTTTAAATAATTGAGGGGAGGTTATAAGAGGCTTTTCAGTTCACTTGTGAACCATTCTTATGTAATTCGATTTTGGAGTAAAGTACAACAGGAGGAAATTGTCAACAAGAAAAGTATGCGAGATTTATTTTGAAAGGGTAAAGTGAAAGCTAAATGCACAAAGCGGTTCTACTCTTTTTTCTATTTAACTCTAAACTATTCAGATCCACTTTACAGATACTTAAAACAAGATAATTAACCTGCTCTGAGAATTTAGATCTACTATAATATTTGTTCCCCTTAATTGCTGTTATAATATGTACTAAGGATAGAAGACAAGAGAGAGACTTAATTGGAAGATCCATGGCGTTGGAAGAAGAGCGAGCTCTAAGTTCAATTATCATGTTACTATCAACTAAATCCCGAATCTTATCACAAATCCTTTGCTTGCAAAGATGGAAAAAGGACTTGACCCTCTTTGATTGCTCTCACCTCAAATCGATTGTCTGCTTGGCTTTGGAAAGTTGAAAGTATTATGAATTTAATTGCAAAATCTTAAGGTACGTTAGTCATATGGACCACGGGCCTTCTTGTGATATCTATCAACAGATGTACTATTCAATCACTTGTCATGCAACTAAAACGGATGTCCTCTAATTTGATATATCTTCCTTGTACACTATCCCAGACGACAACCATTATGAACAACAGAAATTTTTGAAACTTTACCGGCTACTCATTGTTGTCTTCTGTCCCCTCACTTTCTCATTCCATTTACTCATAATTTCTGGGAATGGCTACCTTACTTTGCGCTGTTATCTGACAGATATGAATCTGATAGTTGTAAAATAGAAATAAAAATTAAAAAAAAAGATCATAATTCCACCAAACAATAGAAACGAAAAAGGACTTATGGGTGGGAGAATGGACCTACCATGTATAATGGTCCTCTAAAGTAATCTATGGTACTGGAAAAGAAAAATGGTTACAGCTTACAATGTAAATAGAAGCTGATAGCCAGCAATCACATGGGGATGCTCAGTTTAAGTCTACGAAGCTAAGAAAGCGCCCCCTATCATTTGTCCACATGACTACATCTAACACACAAAAAGACTTGATCGGCATACCTAAATCCTAATCTCGCAAGCAGAGATGGATGTGGAAAGAGAAAGAAAAGTTCCAATAAAGGTAAAGTTTTATTATTGAGAGTGAAATAGCAATATGAAATTTGTGTATCATTGAAACGCAAATGGAGGTAGTAATGGGCGAAAGCAAATCCAGTAACATGTGGTAGGGAACCACAAGTACTCGTTTTCTGAAGAACCTTCCATGTCCAGGATTGTCTCGCAGTTTTTTCTTGGAGATGTCTCAATTATTTCGTGGATCATTGAATCTGACGATTCGCAGAGAGTTGGTGTTGTTTGACCAGCTATCCAATCTCCAATATATATAAAAGGGATGGCCCCACCCTTCAAATGCCAGCCAAAAAAGTCACCTTGAAAAAGGAAAAAAAATACGGCTCCTCGTTCTAGATCAAATGGTCAGAACAGAAAGATATGGTAAAATATAAGATCAGCAGTAACAAGTGAGAAAATTTTCACAATATTGACACCTTGAACTTCAAACAATATCAGACTGGTAATTGCCAATTTGGCAGAAGCAAGGTGGATAATCAAAATTCAAATCCATATTTTTGTTAGCCAAAAATTAATAGAGTTTATAACAAACCACACCGCTTATAAGAGATAAATAGCGTGCATTGCATACGAGATATGTCTAGTTATTAAAATAACACGTTATACAGAAAGCTGATATAAATCCATGCATGTGGGCTTCGTAGACAACCCAGCATTTACTTTTAGCTTTTTGGTATAGTGAATTTGGGTACGATATAGGTTTTATAGAATATGGTGGATATTTAGTGTGGTTGTTTCACAGTCGTCGTTTTTGGACACAGTTCGAGGAAGATTTCTGATAAAGGGTGTGTTTGGGGAATAAATCACCCAAACACCCCCTCCAAAAACCAAAATCATGGTTTTGACTCCAAAACCATGGTTTTGAAAAAAGCAAAATTTTTTTGCTTTTGGAGAAAAAAGAGAGAGTGTGAGGGCTTATATGATATGTATCTTGTTATTTTTTTTATAAACATATTTTTTTATAAATATATTTAATCTTATATTTTATAAATATATATACACATTAATTATTTATTAATTATATTATCTTATGTATTATTAATTATGTTGGTAAAAAACATATTATTAACAATTTTATTCCTTCAAATTAAAATATATCATAAAATCTATTTTTCTGTAATTATCATATTAACTTATGTCTTTTTTTTAGTAATTTGTATATATAAAAAGTGCTTCTGATAACAACTATCCAAACACTCTCACTTTTCAGAATCACTTTTTTACAAAATCTATTCTTCACAGAATCTATTTTTCAGAATCACTTTTCCAAACCACGGTTTGGTTTCATCCAAACACACCCAAAGAGAAGTTCATTAATTAAGAGCAATATTTCACAAGATATGGACAAAAGCAAGACGTTGAAGTGTTGAAGTGCCTGCAATAATAATTAGCGTAGCGTTTGGCCCACGCCATCCTAAATCCTTTCTTCCAAATCACTTTGATAGTTTTATCTACCTACAATGCTGTCTAAACTCTTGAATGTTCAAGCTGCTGTTGACCCTCCGAAATGGTACATGTTAGTCGACAAAACCCTTGCATTTGAAGTTTTCCTGGTTTTCCTGTTCGCACACTTGTCCATTATGGCACCAAGTTTTGAGTCCAAATAAAAGTTCCTTAGATATTTTTTTAAATATCTCTAACGACAATAATGAAGCAATCTTCCTTTCACCCTTTTTTAAAGTAATAACAACAACAACATCGTTCCAGGCGATGCACATAATGGAGACGTGGCCAAGCAGCTGTGGTATGCTTTCACACGTTGAAGATTCTTGATGAGCTTAGTTGCGTTAATTCCAGTTGAGCTAGAATACTGTGTTGACAATACAAATGGCGTTTGTTAAAATTGTCGTGGAAAACGTGACATGCTGGAAACTTACTCTAAAGAAAATGAGTGTGAAACAAGACGCAAAAGTCATGGAAACAATTGAACAGTTGTATTTGTAATTTCCCACTTGAGCATGATGTGTTTTGGTCCTACTGACAGAGATCATTCAATTCAAATACTTGAACGTCTAATTGCTATCACTGTCATGGAGGCATATCAGAAGCATGACACCACGATACCGCCGGGTCTTGTCCATTCATGCATACTTTCTTATCCCAATACACAATTTTCTTCTTCTTCCAATATGCTGCTTTTCATAAACAACAAGAACTAGCATGAATAAGCTTAAAATCCTTTTCTAGATGTTTTACCAGTTAAGCATCTACTCGGATTCAGTACGATACTAATCAGCATATGCAGTTCAAATCCCATCAGGTTGAAGACCAAACACTTCAGCCCCGTTTAAGTAGTTTTTTCCTTCTTCATGTATACTCTTATTGAAAGCAATCTTATTCAATGCATGGTTGCGTTAGTTTGCCATACTTTGAGGAGATTTATTAAACTCACTGGTGTAAGTAGGTTAATTTTGATTAGCACAATAGGCGAGGATTTTATTGCTTTCTCTGGTATACGCTCTCTTTGGTCACAATCCAAGTCGACAAGAGTTATGCTCACGTACCAAAAATAAGTCGTCTTCTTTAAAAATTAGCTGCAAAAAATACCACAACCATATGAAGCAAAAGTTCTGAACATTCGTGAGCATATAATAATTGGTCAAAAGTGCAAACATCCAGTATCAGCCTTGACCATCTCCTGTCCACCGTTAAGAATCCAAATCTGATTTATGAGAATTCCAACAAGTTGTGTGTGTGTGTGTGTGGGGATGTGTATGCATATTATTCTCTTGTCAGGTGTGCTTCATTGAGTATAGAGAACCAGCATTCATGCAGTAGGGAACTGTAAAATTAAAATCGAAAGACTAAGAAGCTGCAAGATCAAAGGTACGTCTCTGTGGGCTTCCTCCCATATAATGGTCCTTGAAAACAGAGAGATAGAAATCCAAGGTTCACGTGAGGCGGAAAGAATTGTACATGACCAAGGGTGGCATACGTTTTTTACAGTCCATCAACCACGGGCCTCAAGCCCAGGCCCAACCAAGAGGCCGGTAGCGATAAAGAACAGGTTGGTTAAGAAACAACAAGGTTAAGAAAGAAAATAAAGTTTGCATCTCAATTTATACGATGATAGTAGTGAAGAGTTTGAAATTAATTTCCATTCAGAGTTTAATCCTTGTTGTTCCTGAAGCATGCCAACGTAAGCTGAGAAAAAAGTGTGCCAACGCACAATAACATCTAGTCCAAGATTATGACTAGGTGCTTTTCTGCTGCAGAGTATTAGCAAAGAGTTATCAGAGCTAATACAATTCCGAATTGGAAAAACTCCCCGTAAATGGAAATGTACTCTGAATAATCCAAAAACTTGACAACTCAACAACCCTAGTCTGTCGATCCGATCTTTGATTACATTGTTAAAAAAATTTGAACAGAAATTCAGTTTAACAATATAAAATCAAGAAACATGAAAGAAAAGAAAAAGTTAAGAAACACACAACGATGGAGAAAATAAAAATCTGAGAGACAAGCTACGGAGCTAATTACCGTTGGTGATAATGGCGCTGGTCTGTGGGGGCACTTTGAATTCTTCAGCTGCGAATTTGAGAACGGCAGTAAAAGGGGCAGCCTCTGGAACGCTAAATCTGATATTGAGAAGGGCAAGATATTGAGAGATTGAGAAACGACGAAAAACGAATTGGAACTAGAAGCTCAGAAACGAAGGCAATAAGAGAAAACACGAGGATATGGGAAATTGCGTCCACTTTGAAGGGTAACTTTGAAGGAGACCTTCCCCCCGCCCGCCATTTTTCACTTCCGCGGAATGCCCTCGTGCTCGGATACTGGTGATCGCTATAAATACGCCAGCGACCATAGTATTTGCGTATTTGTAACGTCCATTGTCGTATTACTGGCCCTTCCCATGTGTCTTCTCACCGGCGTTAAAACGACATGCGCAATGCCATTGTGTCGTCGTTAACGAGTCAACTCGTGGCCCCACATGCCCATATGCTAATCGCCTGAGTAGCTAAATACAATTTTAAGAATCTCGTTACATAGTTATTTCTTTCTGCTTCGAAGGACTCCCATTTGCTCAATAGAATAAAGATGCAAACTTGTCACGTCCTCCTTGACTCAACATGATATTGCAAATTCCAACTATGAATCCGTGGCATCCCTCTCGAAATAGATATCGTTTCTTAATTTTATAATTTTATAACAATTAATATCAATAATAAGTGTAAGCATTGTGCTTTTTTTTTTTTTGAGTTCCTCTTTTCTGACCCGGCCAAACACACCAATAGGAACTTTCTCCTTCATCCTCCCCTTTTATTTTCGAATTTTTTGAATTTAGCCTTGATCTAAAGATTTCTGGATCATTATCATCCTGTTTTCAGTTGAGTCAGCAATGATATCAAAATGATATATTTTTAAATGCAGAAAAACTCAGTCGATGATATGGAAAACAATTTTAAGAGATATGTTGAGGTCGTCGTGATAAATACTTCAATTTTAGAAATTTAAACATGATTTATATGTTTGTGTTATTGCGAGCTGACAAATTTCCTGCCCATGTTTATATATATTGACTTTGATCACCGAGGCTCCAATCCAAAACGAATTTGGATTTCCCCAGAACTACATATAAATAGATGAGAAGGCCTCATATAAATTAAGGAAAAATAATTAACAACACAAAGAGCAAGAGAATGTACGAAAGAGGCGGTTGCACTTGCCCTTCCCAGATTTTTCTTGAACCCAAGGAAAAGAATTTTAACAAATTGTTGAAATATATCACAACCAAAGTGAAACAGCCTCCGAGAGACGTTATTCGTCCAAAGGAGAGAGGAAAAAAGCAGGTTGGTTCTTCAGTCCAAAATCGTTCATGTCAAACGAACTGGATCAGAAGAACCGACTTTATATAAATATTAACCAGTTTCAGAACAGATTCCACAGACTAAGCATCCAGTATCCCACAATCGCCCTGACCATCCACCTTCCGATCAACGAGTTTAGGCCCTTCGATCCATTGCACACTTGTTGGTACGGGCACACTTGTTGCTTCCTGCAGATTAATATGCCCACCAGCAAAATGTTATATTTACTTTTGCTATCACAATACAAAGAATATAGCTTCGATATATATATATTTATATATATAGGCAAGTAAAGATAGACGTATATAAGCATATATCTTATTATACTACAAACCTGGAGGAGCAGAAGGCAATGTCATAGTCAGGACTCGTGCAGGTGAAAATAGTTGATGGATCATCGTATGCATAACTATAAGAATTAGGGCACGCGTCCTTAAACTTCTTGGAGTAATTCGTAGGTTGGCACGTAGTGGGGTTCCCATAATTGCCTCTGCAGCAGTACTCATCGGTGTTGAACACGTCGCAGGCACTCCGGCACCCCACAACTTTGCCGTTGGACTTCACAGCAAGCTCTGACGGACACTTTGGTCTCATGTCATAGTCGCACCTAACCGTAGTGCAATTTCCTGTTCCATTTATGGGCAGAATAGCTACCGGCACGTTGAAGCCATCGACGAGGCTCACGTCGTAGAAATCCGAGGCCACGAGGGTAAATTCCGCAAGTGAAACAGGAGGCTTTCCCGAGGCTGAGCATTTCAAGGAGGAACCACAGGCTCCTGTCACGCACGATCCGCTTCCGCTGGAGTCGAATTTGCATCCGGTTCGAGCCCATATCCGGCCCGACCAGCTCACGGGGGCAGTGAAGACACGGGATTGGTTGGGTTTCAGAAAGAAGCCGCCACCGTCGAAGTTGTCCCCTGGTGTGACGGCGGGCCAGATGTTTTCCTTACAGTTGTTGACTATGGTGAAGACTCTGGCTGACTCGCACGGGTGCAGCCCTGCGCTCCATTGAAGCAAGAAAAAAATGAATAATTTGGAAGATTGCACAGACAATAATAATATAGGATTATATTATTACCTGATGAAATGATGGCTAGAATAATGGAGATTGGTAACAACGTTTGGAGATGTAATGCCATGATGTGTGTGCTAGGTTATCTGGAAGGGTTGGGGTGCAAATGAAGCGGTGGAGGTATAAAAGGAGGTGAAGAGCGTGCGAGGGCGGTTTTTGGTGGTAGGGAGAATACGAGAAGAAAAAAGGCAAGTGAATCAAAGAAGCAAAAGTATGCTTTTGAGAAAAAGAAGAATCGATGCTTCTTTCCCTGTTCGCACGCTTGTCCACTATGGCACCAAGTTTTGAGTGGAAATAAAAAGTTCCTCAGATATTTTTTTTTAGATATCTCTACCGACAATAATAAAGCAATCTTCCTCTCGCCCTTTTTTAAAGTAATAACAACAACAGCATGTGAGATATTTATTACTCCTCCGGTCTTTAATATAGGATCTAATTGTTGAGTTAGTTTTTGTCTTAAATATAAGACCCGTTTTTCATATTTATCAATTTTCTCTAAATTAGCCCTATGGATACTCGCTCAACCATAATCAAGTAGAAGAGGAAGATGGGATATTAAGAAAGATGATTATAGTATTTTAGGAAAAACATATCACATTTCTTATAATTAAGTAACTTATCTAACTTTCTTAATCTAATCAAATTAATTAAATGGGTCTTATATTAAGAACCGAAAGAGTATTATTATTATAACTATTTAGATATTATTAAGATAATTAATAAATATTTCTGAGTGTGGCCCGTAGTCATTTTGGGCCCAATCCAAGATAGGTAACTGACTCAGTTAATTAAAGTTAAAAAACATACAATATACTAAGTCAAGAGTGAAACCCTAATCTTTCTGCTCATTCTGTGAGGGTTCTCCACTGGTGACAGCTACATTCTAGTTGCCATCACTGTGCCCAGTCACCAGCTGGAAGATTCCTTGCATTTTTTCTCTAACAGTGTTCTTCAATCCATAGCTTGTTATTATTCATATTCGAGTTTTACATCAAATCAACTAAGCTAATGGCGAGAGGTATTTATTTGTCTTCCGCTGTAACTCTTTCGAGCATCACATACATATATGTATATAATCTGGATTGTTTGAATAATATATATATCTTGTTTTGCTTACACAGCATCGTTCCAGGAGATGCATATGGGGGAGACCTCCCCAAGCAGCTGTGGTATGCCTTCGCACCTTGAAGATTCTTGATGAGCTTAGTTGCATTAATTCCAGTTGAGCTAAGATACTGTGTTGACAATACAAATGGCGTTTGTTAAAATTGTCGTGGAAAACGTGACATGCTGGAAACTTACTCTATAGAAAATGAGTGTGAAGCAAGACGCAAAAGTCATGGAAACAATCGAACAATTGTATTTGTAATTTCCCACTTGAGCGTGATGTGCTTTGGTCCTACTGATAGAGATCATTCAATTCAAATACTTGAAGGTCTAATTGCTATCACTGTCATGGAGGCATATCAGAAGCATGACACCACGATACCGCCGGGTCTTGTCCATTCATGCATACTTTCTTATTCCAATACACAATTTTCTTCTTCTTCCAATATGCTGCTTTTCACAAACAACAAGAACTAGAATGAATAAGCTTAAGATCCGTTTCTAAATGTTTTACCAGTTAAGCATCTACTCGGATTCAGTACAATATTAATCAGCATATGCAGTTCAAATCCCCGTTTAAGTAGTTTTTTCCTTCTTCATGTATACTCTTATTGAAAGCAATCTTATTCAATGCATGGTTGCCTTGGTTTGCCATACTGTGAGGAGATTTATCAAACTCATTGGTGTAAGTAGGTTAATTTTGATTAGCACAATAGGCGAGGATTTTATTCCTTTCTCTGGTATACGTTCTCTTTGCTCAAAATCCAAGTCTGCAAGAGTTATGCTCATGGACCAAAAATAAGTCGTCTTCTTTAAAAATTAGCTGCAAAAAATACTGCAACCATATGAAGCAAAAGTTCTGAACACTCGTGAGAATATAATAATTCGTCAAAAGTGCAAACATTCAGTGTCAGCCTTGACCATCTCCTGTCCACCGTTAAGAATCCAAATCTGATTCATGAGAATTCCGACCAACTCTCTGTGTGTGTCTGTGGGGATGTGTATGTATATTATTCTCTTGTCAGGTGTGCTTCACTGAGTATAGAGAACCAGCTTTCATGCAGTAAGGAACTGTAAAATTAAAATCGAAAGACTAAGAAGCTGCAAGATCAAAGGTACGTCTCTGTGGGCTTCCTCCCATGTAATGGTCCTTAAAAACAATCCAAGGTTCACGGCAGGCGGAAAGAATTGTACATGACCAAGGGCGGCATACGTTTTTTACGGTCCATCAACCACGGGCCTCAAGCCCAGGCCCAATCAAGCGGCCGGTGACGAGTGAAATCTCGTGTCCAGAAAAGGAAGCAAGAGCATGTGATAGGGGTAGAGTGATGGACAGAATTTGAGAACGGAGAATATAAAGGGATGCCGAACCTGTGGCCATGAAATGCCGTTGAATTGATTGGTACCACTTTGTTCCCTTTCTACTCAGGCAACTTTCGCATTCACTCGTTTTTTATTGTTCTCTATTACCTTGTTTGTTTCGTTTATTGTCATCTTCCTGCGAATAAACCATTTAATCCGACGGTTGATGCTAGTTCTTATTTTCAGCTTTTTATTGACATTTGAGGATGAGAACGTTTGGGTCTGGGCTATAACTACTCGCGCACCCCATTAGAAAGGGGCAAAGATAAATGAAATGGGATCTATAGAGGCCTTCAAATTGAGGGATCCTGTTCAAAGCTTCATTTCCACATAAGGGAGGCCGTTTTTGAAAGGAAAAGGTTGGATCAGGAAAAGATTTCATGAGCATCGTATGCGCCAAGTTAGAGGACGTTGGGATTGAACGAGAGGCCAATAAGTTTTAGCTGTCATTCTCTTCTTGTTTCTTGTTTGTTGCGCGCGCCTTTCCGCTTGGCGCTTGCTTTCCCACAAGTTTTCTCGCATCAAAATCAAATAATCAAATAACTTATTAGAAAAATTAAATTATACCCTTTTTATCTATATAGGACTTAATTATTAAGTTAATTTTAATCATAAATATAAAACATATTTTTTATATTTATTAATTTTTTAAAATTATCCTATGGATACTCTTTAAACTATAATTAAGTAAGTGAAGGAGAAAGGATATTAATAAAAATAATTGTGGTGTTTTAGAAAAAATATATTATATTTTTTGTAATTAACTAATTTACCTAACTTTCTTAATGTAATCAAATTAGTTAAATAAATTTTATATTAAATACAGGAAGAGTAGTACTTTTGAAAGCGGTGTCAATTTTTGTGGATTAGCTCATTAATTATATAGTATGTAGTTTTATTGTCTAATGTAAGCAAAATAAACAATAAAAAGTAGGTACAGCTTACTTAACATTAAATTTTATCAACGAAAAAATTTGACCCAGATTTAGAATTCATGAAGGAAAGAAGAAAGGAGGGGCCTTTGTGCGGGCCCCGCCTTTCTGCCCTCATAAAAGCACGATAGGCATGCGCTCCCCGCCTGGGAGGAAGAAACCGCCACAGCTATCTCCCGCGTACATTTATTGTTCTTCTGCTCCACTCTTCGCTTCCTTCCTTCTTCACCTGATTCAAACGTCTCCTGCATCGGCTGCAACCCTCGCGTTAGGCCGAGTTCGGAGCCTGTTCGCCTCCGCGGGTCGCATTCCACGTCCTTCTTGAGGTACCTAACCTAACTCTCTCTTCTTCTTCTTCTCCTTCTTCCCGTCCTTATCTTTCTCGTTCATGTTTTCTTTCAATACTTTTCACAGGCTCGATTGTGATAAGTGGATAAATTCTAGGGAGCTATGAACTCAAAATCTAATATGTATATTTTATTTGAGAAGTTACCGTGTATTTTTAATTTAGCAAATATCAGCTAATACTGTAACACTTTCGTCTCATTCCATAGCAGAGATACTGCGGTGAATGGCACTTTGGTTATTCTTCAAAGAATCATACTAGCTTATAAAATTTTAAAATAATAAAATCAGTGTGATTTAAGGTTTATATGGATTTTGAGTGGGATGAGAAAACGGTATTATCATTAAGCACTGTGATAGTTTTAGATGATGTAGATATACAGTACAGGAGACTTAGGTATCTAGATGCCAGGGTCAAGATGACACCAAACTTCAACTATATGCTTTCCTGTTCATTTGAAACGGCCCACGACTGGGGGTGCATGGGTCGCCATGGTCCCGTCAACCTTTTATTCTGTTCTGATAGCCAGTAGAGAAAAGAGAAAGAAACTGTTCAAGGTGACTCGTGAATATACGAAGTTTGGACTTCTTCCGTTTCCAGCATCGCACTAAGTATTTTAGTACGGTTTGATTTGTACGCTGCATGTTTAAAATGAGCGAGTTGATTAATTCATCTTAATAGTTGGCCCAAAAAAAATAATGAATAAAAAATTAGTTTCAGTATGCTATGTTTCATTCTCTTGTAGGCTAGAATTGCCTTTTGATTTCTCTTATACGGAGACTTGCTGTCCTTGTAAGTGAACTATTGCTTCATATTGTTCGTTAGTTGTAAACGTTTCTTTTTCGTTGCTTTCTACGTCGTTGGTAACAGTTATTTTGCTCGCATATTGCTCGTTTCTCAAGGTGAATGGTTGTCAATCAATGATATCACTTAATGAATAAATGATGTCGCTCTCGGATTCATCCTTATTTGTCAAAAAAGAAATGGAAAAGAGCGAAAGAATTATATATATATATATATATATATATATATATATATAAGACCTGTGGTGGTACTTGCTGGAATATTCATGCTGATCTTTACTTGGCTTCTGTGGCGCGTCTGTAGTTAATTCAGGAGGAAACAATTTTTTTCGTGTTCTGCTTCATGGAGCGGATGAACAGTTGGAATTCTTCAGTTAGTAGGAACTCCTTGACCCTATCAAGGCGTATAAGCCACCATGTAGATGATGATGTCGAGAGTGAGAGCGTCTCTGAGGCAGGAGACATAGGCGATCGAGCTCTTCATAGCAGAAGACACAGCGAGAGTAGCAGCTTCCACTTGCCCAATGACCGCACTCCGGCAACAGGAATAATTGCCCCTATTCCAGCATCGAACCTTATCTCTTATGGAATGACACCAGGTCAGTCCATGACCCCTGTTTGTATTGATGGGAAAGTGGGACCGGAAAACATAAGAAACGTGAGCCCTCTTTAGCAATTGTTCTGTGGTTTTTCGGGTTTCTTAACTTTTTTTTTAAATGTTTGCTAATGATGGTTATAAGATGAATATTTAGAACATTTCAGTTTCAGGAAGCTGACCGAGAGTTGCCAAGGACATTGAACTATGCTTCTTGTCTAATTCATTTAGCTGTTTTCGGAGTTCTCGGGGTACATTTCATGTTCCAAACTCCAGCAGAATAGCTGATAATTTCTTTCTTATCAATTTCAAGTTATAATGTGCCGTATTTACCCTGATACTGATGCGCCGTATACCATTATGCATATGCAGGTCTTAACAAGATATTTATTGCAGAAGTTGTTCGGCCCCAAAGTTGCTGGTGTGACAAATGACCAAACAATTCTTTACCCCGACCTGCCTTCGAACATGGTCCTTCTCCCCCTCTATATTTCATGCACGGATTATTATATATAATCTTGTGTTATACTGAATGGCATTTTCAAGAAGGAAGAAAAATATATATGACGCTAAAACTTGATAAGATTCTAGTCGAAGAGGAGAATTGAAGAAAATAAGTTGTGGGCTCCTACAGTTAATTTTCATGATGTTAATAGCCTGAGAATGCTGGCTACTTGGGAAGCGTAACAACCTTCAGTGGTTGGAATCATAAATTTTGCGTAAAATGCTTGAACTCGGTGTTTCTGGACATTGGCTCTTCTCTGTGCTAGGCTTTTTAATAGGTAATCTGGCACATTTGATGCTAGTAATTTTCCAGTATAGCTGTCTCTCACTCATCTTTTCTCTTTTTAGCATGTTCTAGTTGATAATATGAATTTGTGAACGATTGGTATTTAGCAGGCTTGTTTCTTGTTGCCTTTTCCATCATCTTTGGAGTAGAGACAGCCAAAGGTTTCAAGTGCCTTCTCGGCAAGCTAAAAATGAGTTCAGGAAGTCAAAATCATAGTTCTAAGTTCAACTGGAAGGTGGCGAAACGCACAGATCAGTTGGCAGTTATGGTGGTCTTCTTGATAATGTTAGGCTTGTTATGGGGTGTTAGTGCTGCACTAGCAGCCAGGGAGTTCAAGCATGGTGGTAGTGCAGCTCAGTTGTGGGTTGCTTGCATGGTTGGACCGCTAGGTGTGTGGATTAGATGGTTATTAGCGCGACTCAATGGTCGTGGAATAGGAAGGGAACGGCTGTTCAAATGGATTCCATTTGGGACACTAATCGCCAATGTTTCTGCTGCTTGTGCCATGGCTGCACTCGCTACTCTGAAGAAATCAGTAAGTTACACCCTTGTCTTGAGAGTGTTATTTATTTCCCTTTGATGATTGGATATCTCTGCTTTTTCCCTCCCATAGAACATCATCTCCATTCGTATGCTGTGGGCATGCTGCTGTCATATTTTATAAATTTGACTGGTATTTAATTCTTTAAATTGCTGCTCTTGCCCTCCTACTCTCTTTTTCTGACAGGGCCTTATTGTCCTCTTCAGTCTAATAATCAGCATGATAATTGTGAATGTTCTGAACTAATATATGGGAGCTTAATGCAGGTGAACACCAAAAACTGTGACACTGTCGTAACAGGCATACAGTTTGGTGTACTGGGTTGTCTGAGTACTGTCTCTACTTTCGCTGCCGAGTTTAATGCCATGAGAGAAAGTATGCATCCTTGGAGAGCATATTTATATGCTATGATTACCATTTGTGTTTCGTTCTTTTTTGGGATCTTGCTATACGGCATCTATGTTTGGAAAATGTGAGTGGTCTTGGCAATTATTTTTGTGCCTATAGCTACATTTAAAAGGCCATAAATCTGATATGAGATGGTTGTTGGGCCAACGGATTGGGAATTAAGATATGTAGACATAGATGCAGGTTTTGCTCAAGCATCTTTCCCTTCAGCTTCAGGTATGAGAGGTAGCTGGGGATGATTGGTTCTACGGAAGGGTTAGTAAAGGTTGGGACCGAAGGACAAAGGTTGCAAAATTTCGAAAGAACCGCTTCTAGTGCAAAGTTTAGTTGACGTTGCTCCTCGATCTTATTCCTGGGGTTGAAGTGCAAGTCTTGCTTAAATTCAAATATCAAGATCAAGCATTTTTTTTTTCAACGAAGGAGATGCTTTCTATCACGAATATAGGATAGACTTTGCAAAGTATTTTCAAATGAGGATAGATTAATTTCTTGGGAGTGGTGAAAGCGACATAGCACTCGTATCTGTTTTCGTTCTTCATAACTTGCTTTCTTGTGAAGAATCTCAGATAATATCATTGACCAGCAACATTAATGGAGTATTTTAGTATATGAGAGCATTGTTGTCAAACTCGCTAAATTTTTGAATTTGATTATATTTAGTGACTTTATATATGATTTTTATAGAAATTTTTTTGTTGAATATGATAAATTATGAACATTAATAGATATAATTTTAATTATTTAAATTTAAAATATATTTAAATGAAAATTTTCTCATTTCTCATTTATTAATTATTTGATTATATATTTTTAATATCAGTTTATTAATAAAAGTAAACTTCACAATTCGAGTTTACAATCTAAATTTATATTATTATCACGAGTTTGTTTAAACTCGTGAATTTGATAACTTTGCATTATAAAAATGTTTTTTTAAGTGTTTTTCAAGTTTTCCAAACTCTCCTGTAATTGATAATTTTTTTTCTGAAAATGTCATTAATTGGGAACGTAATTAATAAGATTTTCTAATTGAGATATCCTACTAAATAAGTGTAAATATAGAAATAATGTCTTAAAGGCTTTTCACTAGTATACTGGATAGCATCTTGTAGTAATTTTGAACCCTTGATTTTATTTTAGATGCATTTTTTTTTTTTAATTGAAACCCAGAATCGATTACCACAGAAATGAGTCAAACGCGTAGGTACGCTAGCAATTAATGCTTCTTTCGTCAGCAGCATCAACTTGCCAGAGGAGCGAAGGAGAGAATAGATGCATAAATTTTACGTCAAAGTTACATAAAATTAGGGGGCGCGGAGCTGTGTTATCTTATACTACTTCATGTTATTATTATAAAATCTAGTTGATTAATTTAAAAAAATTTTAAAAATTAGAAAAATTAGTTATTTATAATAAATATGTTGTCTTCTTAAAAATATCCTCACTATTACCTTCTGTTCTAAATATAAGAACTAGTTAACTAATTTGAATGGATTAAGAAAATAAGTTAAGTTAATTATTTGTAATAAATAAGTATTGTTTTTCTTAAAATATCTTTTTTAATCAAGTGTGTGGTTAAAATTTTTATTATTAGAGGGACTATCTTGAAAAAAAATGTATAAATATAAGAGACAAAATGGATTCGAGTCTTATATTTAGAACCAAAATAAAAATTAAACGAAACCTTATATTAAAAACAAGAGGTAGCAAGAATATATGTTGACTAAAACTATTATTTGATGAAACATTTAATATCTGCAACTACTATAAAGATTACTTTAAATAAATAAATAAATACGAAAAATAAATTAGATTAAAATATTATATTTAAGATCAAATTAGAAGTCAAACTTATTCTTATATTATACTCAGCTCAAAGTTATTAATCTTTTTAGCTGAAGCTCGAATTATGCATAATGTTTGGTTCACGCGTTCAGATACGTGATGTGATACCGTCAGGCCCCAAAAAAAGGTCCACACATGACATATCACGCTGCACACATATACACCACACGTAAACTTTTTCCTTGTGTACACATTCGGACGTAAACTTGAAGCCAAGCATTCGCGCCAGCACCACCCAAGCGGTTGCCAGCCCCTGGTTCCCGGATTTCTGGTCAGACAAAACGACGAGTACTGAAAATAACAGAGGCGGATCCTTTCTTGACGCCTTGGGAAACTCAATTTGGACTTTTAGTTTTTCTTTAAAAATGCCCTGCCCAGTCAAATAACATCATATTCATAGTTGTCCTCGCTCCTTCTCTGTCCACGCATCCCCTTGACTCCCATGTGCGTGAGTACGCCACCAAAGATATTCCCCCCATGGAATAATCTATTTTTCACCGCGTATTTATTAGCCCCGTGTTTAGTTATCTAACTTAATTTAATTTATAAGTCGGCGCGTACTAGTTGACGTCGCTGGGACTGGGGATTTATGTTACTTCTGTGGCGATGGATTAGTTCCATCTCAATTATCAAACTCGAAGGTTCATGTTTGTGTGTGTGTCATCGTGGAGCCATCTCTGAACAAATATATATATATATATAATAATAAAAACAAGGACGTCTGCACGATATCAGTTTTGTCATATTTAATTTAACAGCGAGGTCCTAGCGTCAACTCAACGGTACCAATACCCTCTGGCCGGCATTCACATGGAGGTAGCAGGGAGCGCAGGTTCTTCGCTGAGACGTCATTCCTTGAGCATATCCAGTCGTAGAAGCCATCCAGTACAAGAAGATGATGAAACAAGGAGTGATAATGTTTCAGAAGCCGGAGATACTGGGGATCGTGCTCTTCCCAGCCGGAGGTACAGTGCCAGCAGCAGCTTCCGCCTCTCTTTTGATCGCCTGTCGGAAAATGCTTCCGTTCCCGCTCCCTTTTCACACTCCACTCCCTCTGTTGCTCCTTTACCGCCTGACGCCTTATCGCCTCTCCCAACCTCTGCAATACTGGGTCCTGAGGACTCAAAACAAGTGAGCTTTTGTGGTGGTTTCATCAAATAAATTAATTCCGATCTACTTCTGCCCAAATGAACCGTCTTAAATCATGCTTTGTTATTTATACTTTCAGGAATCTGATAAAGGGCTGCCGGAGTTACTTGACTACGCTTCATGTCTGATCCATTTAGCTGTTTTTGGAATTCTTGGGGTAATATGCTGATCCTTCATTGGCATTAATATTCCTTTCGGTGGTGTTTTGGTCATTTTTCTCGAAACTGGAGAACTTGAACTTATGCCGATTCTGTTCAATCATATCAATTGCAATCTGCTTGCTAAAATTGCATGTTTTTGTTGAAATGTTAACTTCGTGTGTATGATTAAAACCATATAATAAATTTGATTAAAAAAAAAACATCTCTGATTTCTTGAAAAGAGGATATCTTGCATGTTGCTAATGAAGACGTATCTTACCCGGAACCAGATGTGAAAAACATGAAAGTCATTGGTCATTTGTGGTGTGCGCGTTTGGTCGGACAATATAATGATTGGCGCGTTGGTCTTGGTCGACATTTGATAGTTAGGCCAAAAAAAATTTGGTATTTCATAGTTCTATCAATATTGATTCCTATGAAAAGAAGTTCGAATTGTATTTTGACCAACTATCTTCAATTCAATGAGACACGCAATTACGAAGTTATCCTGCAAAGTAGGAGTTTTAGTGCAATTCATGCTCTGTTAAGGATAAGCACTACAAAGTTGATGCCTTGGAGGTCCCGTCCATTTTTCAGTTCACTGTGTCATATCCTTACAGTGATCAAATTTCAAGTTAGGACATCTGCTGGTTGCTAATATTCTAATGTACTTCTCGTCACAGGTCTTGACAAGGTACTTACTGCAAAAATTATTTGGCCCTGGAGTTGCCGGCGTAACAAGTGACCACACCATTCTTTACCTGGACCTCCCCAGTAACATGGTCTGCTCCTTTCTCTGACTTAATTAATTTTTTTGTCATAAAGGCGCAAGGGCCTAAGCGGCAACTACTAGAGTTGCACAATTGGTAATCAGCGTAGAATTGCTTAAATATGGCCAATCTGATAGAAGCCTTAACCTTGCTGTTAGATGAGTGGCACTTAAGTTCATGTTGACTTAATGAACATGATTTGCTTATGCAAATGCCGTACATATATTCTTCCAGGTGGGTTCTTTTCTTATGGGATGGTTTGGTGTTGTATTCAAAGGAGACATATCACGCGTGTCAGAGCATCTAGCCATAGCAATATCAACTGGTTACTTAGGAAGCCTCACAACTTTCAGCGGCTGGAATCAGAAGATGCTGGAACTCAGTGTCTCTGGGCATTGGCTTTTCGCAGCGCTTGGCTTTTTTATAGGTAAAATATAGGCATAGCATTTTCATCTTGAAAGCCCTTTTTCCCAGCCGCATCTTGTTAACCCCAACATGAAAAATGGATGCGTTTTTCAGGCCTGTTTCTCGTCGCATTTTCCATCATCTTTGGAATAGAGACAGCCAAGGGTTTCAGGTGGCTTCTCAACAAGAGTTCCATAACTAAAAGATATGAGATGAAGTGGAAGGTGAATACCTGCAAGCGTCAGTTGGGAGTCATGGCAGTGTTGCTCGCGGTGTTAGGCTCATTATGGGGCGTGTTTGGCGCATTGGCGAAGGCTAAGTTCAAGCATGGTGGAAGTGCTGCTCAGTTATGGTTTGGCTGTATGGTCGGACCTGTAGGCGTATGGATTCGATGGTTCTTAGCTCGCCTGAATGGAAGAGGACTAGGGAAGTCAGGCCTCATGAAATGGCTTCCATTTGGGACTCTGATTGCTAATGTTTCTGCCGCTTGTGTCATGGCTGCACTTGCCACTGTGAAGGAAGCAGTAAGTTTCTGCAGAATCATTCGTTTTTGTTGTTCTTTTGATTTTGCAGATGGTGACCAGTATTGGGTGGCTGATGCAGGTGAACACAAGGAATTGTGATACTGTGGTGGCAGGGGTACAGTTTGGTCTAATGGGGTGTCTGAGTACTGTGTCTACATTTGCTGCAGAGTTCAACGCGATGAGAGAAAGCAAGCATCCTTGGAGAGCATATGCATATGCCACAATTACCATATGCGTGTCTTTCTCTCTTGGCATCTTAATCTACTGCGTGCCTGTCTGGACGAGGGGGTTCGACATTGACACATAGCCAGCGAGCATGGAAGACAACCTTGGGATTGAAATCTCAATAGTTGTATGTTGTCTTGTCCCAGGCGAAGTTAGCTCGTTTTTTACTCTCCGAGAAGGACCGCGCGGTTCAGACTAAAATTCCATTTCGTTCTTCTGCTCACGAGTTTGGCGGTCCATTAAGCTAGATGCTTAAGAATTAAACAACTTAGCTCTTTTTAAACTCCAAAAGGCATGATGATCACAGAGGAATCATCTTGCTTTCGGTCGTTGTTATGGTTGGTCATGTAAAGTTTTACCCATGATACTAAATATGAATGCTTTTCATTTCGACGGAAACAGTGACACTCAGAAACGCAGTCAACAGAAGAAAAGCAATACAGAGCATCAGCTAAAAGCAGAGCGATCTTGAAGACCATAAATCAGAGCCAATTAGAGATCCTACCACTACCATAGAAGACTAGAAGCATATTTCCTAATCAGTAGCTTCATTCTAACACCACAATCGCGTTCTTGTTTCCCCAAAGGAGGCAAAGCTCCTTTAACTGCTATTGTCATCCAACTTCCTCTGAATACCAAACCTCAACGCCTGGAGCGTATGCACGTGGAAGGCAGAGGCTTCATCTTATTTTGGGTTGGGCCTACCTCTCTTTTGGGCTTTGTACTAATACCGTCTTCCTTATTTCTGGGAACAACAATTGGTTTTTGCTACACATTGCTATCTTTTTATTAAAAGCATTATCAAGTACTAAATGCAAACACTTTTTTTAGTAGGAATTCATACTTTGATTTATCGAGTTGTGAGGTGCTAATCCCTTTCATTAAATCCAACCTATAAAGTGATCAAATTTGGTAGTAAGATTGCCGTTGAGTCGTGGTCTTAATTAAAATAATAACCTCTTTTTTTTTTTTTTTTTGTGAAACACGATTCTATTCACTAAAAGCAACGATACAAGCACATTGGGCATTAAGCTTCGATGACGAACAAAGCCCAATATGGAACAAAAGACACAGCATAAACAGCGATAGGTCCAACTAGAAGTTGGGCTAGGAACCACCGAGAACAACAGCAAGCAAAAAAGCGACATCCATAAACAAAACCCAACAAGGAACAACTGCATGCATGGAACGTCGTCATGCAGAAACACGCGCCCATATGGCAGCAGTAGGACTGTAACAGAACCAGAAGCAAGCCGAATGGAGCTGAGTTATTTAATATGACAGAAATGCATATAGAAACACAACGAACGCTATAAAACATCGTCTCGAGCTGATTCTGCATCTGTCGGCACAAGAGATCTCCAAAGAATCTATTCAATGCTGAGAAAATTCAATTAATAATTTTCACAGGCTCATCAAACGCGAGAATTTCTGACTTTCTGGTCAATAATGGTGAAGGCTTTTACTCTGCTTCTGACGACATAACGAGGAATATGAAAACTACATTATTTTTTTTTTTATTCAAAGTAAGTTAGGATCATATATATATATGTTTGACTTGAACGTATAAGCTACAGACGTCAGGAGAATTTGACAATAAAAATATAGTGTGTGTGTGTGTGTGTTATTCAAACTTTTAATTGTACAATTGAATTATTGTGATCAGCTTTAAAATCCCCAGCAATATCGCAGAGAATCTGTGGCCATCTTGGTTTTAATGTGCAGGCTCGCCCATAAATAAAACCCCAACAATATCACTGAATGGATGGATATTTGATCGTGAAAGCATAAAGAAAACAAATTTAAATTTCTTAATCATTAGATTAAATTATTGTGATCAGCTTATAATCCCCAACGATATGCGGGAGAATATATCTCCACTATGGGTTTTAGCTTCCTATACTTGCCACAATGCCACCTCACCTTTTTGGGCAAATTAATAACTTCTCTCTACCAGTTTGTTGGTTCTTTTTTCTATTCGGCCGGCACTTTAATGGTTCATGTTTGATAATTTTAAAAGTATAAATATTATCAATCGATATCATTAAAATTTGGTTTAATTTGAATGATAATTATCTGTTTGTTTTTGTTTTGGGACTTCATATAGTATAATCAAGAGGGGTACGTACTTGTCACGCAAAAATATTATTGACCAGGCTGCATAAATAATCATATAGGGCCATGGAAAATCTGCGTGTATATGCATTACGTTACCAACATTCAGTGGACTTTCGACATTAACGGTTTGCGAACAAGTCATGATGGCCATATTATATATGTATATATGTTTGTGGAGAAATGACAAATTAAATACTTATTCTTATCCGTCCCTTTTGCGGTCACGTACACTACACGTATACTTAAATCTAAAATTTTCCTCTCTAAATTACTCAGCTTTCATCATCAATCCAGGCAAGCATAAGATATAATATGAAAACACTGTTTTCATTGGATATTAAATTGACGGAGTCAATACAGAAGCTAGTAGCTAAGCTATGAATTGCATTTATTGTGCAATAGTATTACAAAACAAAGGATTACGGGACGCCCATCGTTATTCTGTGGGGATACATGCACGGTTTTGTATAACAATAACCCTGCACCTAAGTGATCAACACAAACTATAAGGGAAGAGGAGCAAGGCACATGAAGAATCACTGAGGAATCTTGTTGAGCTTGCAGTATGCATAGTCGCCGTAAGTCTTGGACTTGAATTTGGGTGGGTTTTGATCGTTAATAAGCATAGGGAGAGGCCCTACGACATGATCTGAGGGAGGCTCCAAGAACACAGGCCACGACATTCTGGTCTTGTCACACACAGTTGTCCTATGATACACCGCCTTGTACTTGCCATTGCTCAGAATCTGCCATTATATTCCAACAACAACGGTAATAATAATTAATATCAGCATATCTCGTGTGTGTGCGTGCGTGTGTTATTGGTTGCAATTCACAGAAGCAAGAGAAAAGTGTGGACGCTGGTACCTCAAGTTGGTCGCCGATGTGGATGACGAGGGCGTTAGGGATGTATTGAACATCGTACCAGTGGTCGTCCCTGAAGGCTTGAAGGCCTTGGACTTCGTTGGGGACAAGGATGGTGAAGGTGGACATGTCGGTGTGAGGTGGGACCCCAAGCGCCAGCTCAGGGCGGGGGCACGGAGGATAGTAATTGATTTTCAGAAGGTATTCCAATTTGTCGCCGCCGGCCGCTTCCCACATCTCGTTCCCTTGCAGCCCTAACCCTTTTGTCAGACTCTTGAACAGCTTCTCCACCACCCCATGCAGCTTCTTCACGTATTCCTCGTTCGCCTCCCTGCCCATTTCATTTTTCCCACTCCTCACTAACCATTCTGTACGACCAGTGCTGTATATTTATCATATCTTGTTTTTCTAATAATTTAATCCCATCCTTGAATTAATTAATGACTTGTATATATCTTATAACAGTATGACTTCTACGTACAAGAAGAGCCCACCACCAAGCAGGCCTCTATTTTTGCAGCTTAAAACGTCGATACGTAGCGTTAGGTTATAATTTAATTCGTCCTCGTCAATCCCGTTGATTCTGAGCTAGAGAGAACTTTTCCGAAAAGGATGATGTTATTTATGAGAGAGGCATAGTTGCTTCTAGTTGATCCCTCTACCGGTTTTCATCAACAATCCCATGAACCTCCAGCGTCCACGTGACTTTGCCGCAAGGTATGACCCGGAGTGGGTCTCTTTCAAGATAACTTATAAATCCTCAATAACTTTTAAATAGTAGTATATATATTTATATATATAAAATAAACTCTATTATGTAGTGGTGGGAAATGGGCGGCACTATAAACTAGTATTAATACTTTCTCCTCATTTGATGACATGGTCCTTCACCAATGTTTGGATCTCTTCAATTAATTGATCAGGAATCAAATTAGATATTGCAAGTCAGGCGTGCAAAAAGATTGAAGCCGTCAAGCCGGCTGCCTCTTTAATCAATTTATTAAATCCCTTCAATTAACCTAGGATCGAGAATATTTCCATCTACATATATATCTGAAATGTAATTAAAGGGGAAAATGTGTAATGTGTTATTATGAACTTGAAGTGTGGACGTACGATGTCGAAGAAAATAAAACTGGCGTGATTGATATTAATTTGTAGGTTACGAATAGAATGTGAAGAAAATGGAAGAAGACAAACCTGTATGAAGGAGGATTCTTGGGCCAGAAGCGATAGTTAATGGCGGAAGGAGGCCAGACTTTGTGAAACAGATGATCAACCCAACCTTTCTTGTCGTCAATCTCCTTCTGAAGCGAAGTGCCGTAACCTTCGACGGAGCCAGGAACCTTAGAAATGAGTTCTTTCTCTTGTTGAGGAAGCTCGAAGAAAGCCTTGCCCACCGCCTGCAGATTGGCTATAACCTCCTGAGGAATCCCATGGTTCACGATCTGGTACATACCCCAACGGCTACTGGCATCCACAATCTGAGACACCAGCTCTTCCTCATTGGGGTTGCTGAAATCGATGGTCGGAACCTGCAGGTGAACCCCGTGAAGGGTGGTGAGGCCGGGTTGCTCCGTCTCCGACCAGGTGAACTCGGACGGGATATTTTCTTGAGACAAAGAGGCCACGTTCTGCACTCTTACTACCTCCATGGATATTCAGGAGGAACAAGGCAGGTAGGTGGGCTTTGGAATGCAGGGACGAATTGTGTGTGTGTGAGAGCGAGGCGTGGCGTCCGTCGGAATTTATAGACAAATTGAGTTGGCTTCATGCCGCAAGAACGACCCCTATTGCTCCCCCCACGTGCCCTTCACCAGCTTCCTCGCCTCCTATATTTGTTACGTATTCACTACTTATTTATTCGCATCTTTGGTTTTCTTTAGATACATTTCTCAGTTTCCAAGAATGTTTATTTGTATTTGTTTGTTTTTAGGCCACGAATTGCAATTTTTTAAATAATTTAACCTTGGTAATTATTTCTAAAAATGATTTGTTTTTAAAAAGCTGTGTTTTTCCAATTTTGATCCACTCTCTAATTTTAGGAAAATATTTGTGTAGTTAATTTTTTTTTATAGTTTGTATATATGCTATGCTAATCTGTTATGTTTATTTTCAATGGGTTACAAGTATTAATGACAATAGTTTCTTGAATTATACACATATGCATATTTAATAATGTATTTTGCAAAAATGGGCTAATATAAAATATAATATATATCTTGACCGGGTCAGATTACGTGCAGAGAATAATTCCACAGTTGATCTGTTTTTTGGCTGCTAATATAAATATTTACGATATATTATTTATAAACTATAACCGAGGAGTTATAATTAGACCGGAAGTAATAACTTTTACAGGAAGGCAAGTAATATATATTTATTTATGTTTGAAATGAAAATTGAAAATTCCCTCCTCAAAAGGTTATACAGCCTATCATCGTCCTAAATTTAGAGGCGGCATTCACTGCAACTGTGATTGTCAAAAATCTGGATAAGTGGCATAGCGGCGTGGGGAAATAGGCTCTAGGAAAGCTTCCAGATAAACTACTTTCTCGGACTTTAGGAAAAGAGTTTATTTAATTTTTATTTATCTTAAATGTAAGACCTGAATTTATTTTATCTTTTATATATATTTTTTTAAAATAATTATTGTAATAATGATAGTTCCAATTAATATACTTGATTAGTAAGGATATTTTAATAAAAAATAATACTTATTTATTATAAACAACTAGCTTAACTAGTTTTATTAACATGCTCAAATTAGTCAACTATCTCTTATATTGAGGACCAGATCATGCTTCCCATCTATAAGAGTCAAATAATAAAACTTCTTAATTAGAATTTAAGACTTCCTGTTAAAAGTGGGGGAAAATTCCAATCTTTTGGCTTTTAAATGGTTTTTTAATATAAATTATTGACTTTTTTTAATATTTGGAGTCAAACTTATTAATTTGAAATTAATCTACAAACCAAGTTTTCTCAGATTCATTCATGTCAACCTTGTTTGAATATAATCACAATAATTAAAAATAAATAAATATTACAGCTTGCAGTGTGCCCATTATTTTCATGCTTTGAGCGGGATAATTTTCATATACATCAGGCCTTACAATTCGTACGTGACTTCATCTGATTATGACTATTCATGAAGATTCTAATTCAATAAAAAATAAAATAAAATCTAATTAGCGTTAAAACACCATATTTGTGTTGCTTTTCAGCGGGGCGCATGCGCACACACATAAAGAAGATGCTAATTAAACAGGTTCTCACTAATGGGAAGAGTATCCTTAGTAGTTGTTAAATGAGTAAGCTCATATAAATGACTCTGAATAATAATAATAGAATAATTCAAAAATATATATGTTTACAATCTGCCTTCGCAAGAATAAATGTGTGTGTGTGTGTGTGGGCTGGATGGCTTAAGATTAGTCGTCAGTCTTTCAAAAAAATAATAAAGTATGCTAATTTATTTTTTAAAATAAATCCTTCACCCACAAAAATTAATATTTTTCCAATCCTAATTATAAAACCCATTTTGTAATGTAAATTATATTATAAAATATGTCTTATATTCAGGATCAAAGATGTTCAATAGAAGCTATTAATACCTCCGGTCCTAATTATAAAAGCTAGTTGACTAATTTGAGGAGATTAAGAAATAAGTTAAATTAGTTATTTGTAATAAATAGATGTTGTCTTTCCTAAAATATCCCTGCTAATCAAGTATATTAGGCTATAACTACTATTATTAGAATGACTACTTTAAAAAAATACATAAATATAAGAGACAAAATGGATTGAGATCTTATAATTAGAACCAAAATAAAAATTAAATAAGATTTTATATTAAAAACTGGAGATAGTAATAATTTCGGGGAGTCTAAAAATTGTTGGATAAATCCACCGCACTGACTAATAAGCCATAGCCTCGTGGGTGAGTAATTGAATTCCCCCCCCCGGGGGTCAAGCAGCCAATGTTTGATACTTTGATGTATTAAGCGGACGTATATTTGAATGTGCTATTAAATATGAATTGATAGTAACAAATGCGATTTTAATATTCAGATCGACACAATTCAGTTTGAATATCTAGCATGATTTACAGCTCGTTCCTAAATACTCCTCCGGTCCTAATTATAAGACCCATTGACTTATTTGAAGAGATTAAGGAAGTAAGTTAAATTGGTTATTTATAATAAATAAGTGTTGTCATTCCTAAAATATCCTTACTAATTAAGTATATTGGCTAAAACTATCATTATTAGAAGGATTATCTTGGAAAAAAAATGCATAAATATAAGAGACAAAATGGATTGGGTCTTATAATTAGGACCAAATAAAAAGTCAAATTGGGTCTTATAATAAGGACCGGAGGAGTATATAACATTAATCTGCCCAGCCTCAATGAAATTGAATATAGTTCCACGAAAATGAAACCATGGGAGTTGGGACCATTTTATTCTTGCACGACGCAATTCGGAATCTCTTCTGTAGAGTTGGGAGATGTGACCACCCCCATCCACGTAGGCTGGCTACATAATGGGCCCAACCTACAGGCCCAATTCATTTATTGCATCCTAATTGTTTTTTGGTAGAGCTGGTAATACGGGCTGGGCCCGCGGGCCCAGCCCGCCAGCCCGCCAAAAATGGCGGGCTCGGGTTGGCAAAATGCCAGCCCGCCAAGGTGCGGGCTACTCCAGCCCGCACCGCTTTCAACCCGCTCCGCCGCGGGCTAGCCCGCTTTTTTTTTTTTTTTTTAAATTTTAATTTTTATATAATTTCTAATATGTTATACAATATAATTGGAGGATTTTAACTCCCAAATTTTATATTTACATCTTCTCATCCATGTAATTGCATATGTAATACATACATAAAAGATCTACTTAATTAATTTGGATAGAAAAAATAGTCAAATTAATTATTTAGAAAAAAATATGTGTTAGTTTTTTTAAAATATCTTCTCAAATTATAAATTAATCCTCACATTATTTTATTATAACTTATTACTCAAGTTTAAAACTCCAAGTCCAATTTAACATTACAAACTAAGCTCAAACTTATACAAATAATTTTTTTTTTTTTTTAAAAGTTAGGCGGGCCGGCGGGCTAGCCCGCCAGCCCGCCTTGGCGGGCTCGGGCTGGCAAAATGCCAGCCCGCCAAAGTGCGGGCTACTTCAGCCCGCACCGCTTTTGGCCCGCACCGCTGCGGGCTGGCCCGTATCCGCACCGCCAGCCCGCATTCCCAGCTCTATTTTTTGGTGCAAGTAACTTCAACTATTCATTTACTCGTATATGAAGAGGACTAGCGTTAAAAAAACACAAAAAAGGTTTCGACCCATATTCCCCAGCTGGACATGACCATGGAGAACAGAAGAGGACTAGTTATTCAATTTATGCTATTTTATAAAAATTGAATATTCATAAATGCAACCATTCAAGATCGAGTCAGAATATAGGATTAGATTCCTCACCTTCACACGTCATTTAGCTTTAAATAGTTTGTGAGGCATTGATCTTATGCTACTATTTCTGAATTCTAAACATTCATTTTCATTATTTTAACATGTATGTCAAACAAATCATATAATAAAATACAAATTAAGGACTGAAATCCAGATGAGGCTGACGTCAAAATAATAGTTAATGGGCAGCGTAAAGTCATGACGAGGAAAGTTGTAATATTTAATGCCCCAAGTCGAACTGGGCTGCTCATGGGCAAAAAAGAAAAAAGGTCGAACTGGGCTGCCAGGCTAAAATTAATTGACTGACGAATACTATTTTATAGTCAATGAGAAAACTGAAAACTGATTTTTATATCCACTGTTATCATCCCACAGAGGAACTTTCACCCCCAATTTATTAGACTATTAATTTATTGTGTAATGTTATTTCTGATACATAATATGAGAGTTTGTTTAGTAATTTGAGTAAGTCAAAAAATTACTTAAGTTAGTTATTTGTAATAAATAAATATTATTTTTTTCAAAATATCCTTACTAATTAAGTATATTGATTAGAATTATTATTATTACATAACAGTCTTAAAAAAAGATAAATATGAGAAATCAAGTAGATTAGGGTCTTATATTTAGGGTCAAAATAAACGTCAAACAAGCTTTTATATTAAAGACAGGAGATAGTACTGCTGGTGCTTAATATAAGACCTAGTGGGCTAATTTAGGACAATTAAAAAAATTAGTTAAACTAGTTCTTTGTAATTAAATAAATATTGTATTTTCTAAAATAACCTTACTAGTAATGTTTATTAATTAAAAATACAATTTAATAAAAATTTTAACATGTTTAGGGGAATTACTTTAAAAATTAAATAATATAAAAAATAAATTAAAATTTTATTTCACGATCAAATTAAAAATTAAATTATTTTTTATATTAAGGAGCAGAAATGGTACTGCTTACATAACTTATTGTATTCTTAACTATTATTGTCTAAAATACCAAGTTTAAATAGTCAGACAAAAAAATTTCTTAAATCATAGATACAAGGCCTCACCATAATTTGTCTATTAAATTTATAATTATTTTGCTAAAACATTCCTGTTAAATATTGATCGCACATGTTAGCATAATTTTCATTAAAATCAATATACATTTCTTATAAACAGCCAATTTAACTAATATTTTTTTTAATATTCATAACTGGTTTTTTTTAATATCAATGAATTA